ACAAATAATGACACAGAAACTTATGATTAATTATGAAAGCCTGGCCTTTAGCTTAGGCTTGTCTCAACTAGCTCTTATAACTTAAATAACCCATTTATATTAATCTATGTTCTGTTGCATGGCAACCGCTCTTCCATCATATACCTCCTGCTTCCTGCCCACATCTGGCTGGCAGCTCTGCCTTTCTTCTTCCCAGAGTTCTCTCTCTGCCTGGAAGTCCCGCCTTTACCTCATGCCTAGCTGTTGGACATTCACCTTTTTATTACACCAATCAGAGCAATATATCTTCACACAGTGTACAAATATCCTGCAACATTCTGGGTGCTGGGTGCTGACTGTATGCTTCCATACATAGTTTTATCATTTTTTTAATCTGAGAGCAATTTGTAGCCCTCTGTTATGAAAAGTGAGAAGCAATGATACTTAGGACCATATCAGGGGCAGCATTATATTTTTTAATTTTTTTGGGGGGGGCAGCATTTACTCTAGGCAAGAAATCTACCACTGAGCTGTAATTCCAGTCCTGGAGTCTTTTATTTAATTTTTTTTGTGTGTGTTCATCTATTTATTGGGAGGCACGGTGCAGGTGTGGAGGTCAGAGGACAACTTTTGGAGTCAATTCTCTTCTGCCATGTAGGTTCCAGGGATTGAACTCAGAGCATCAGGCTTGGTGGCAAGTGTTCTTCCTGCCGTCCTGCCAGCCCCTTGGAGTTTTTGTTTGTTTGTTTGTACACGCCTTTAATCCGAGCACTCAAGAGACAGGCAGATCTTTGTGGGTTAGAGGTTCAAGGCCAGCCTGGTCTGTAGAATTCTAGGACAGCCAGGGCTATGTAGAGAGAATATGCATCAAAAAAGTCACTTTGATCCATTCTGCATATAAACTGGATTTTGTTTTCACAGCTCCACAATGATGCTCTATAATGATGCTCCACAATGATTCTCAGTAGACCAAAGCTTACAATCACTGTTTAACTCAAATTTCCCACATTGATTCCATACCACATTGTCCCTACTCACGGCCTGAATGTGTAGCACTGTGAGCTTTTGACTATAGTAGGGATACCTTGACTCATCACAGAGGTTGCAAGAAGCAGGGCTGACTGTTAGTTACATCTTTGAACACTTCTTGTGCCTGTTTCTGTGAATAGTGTTCTCCAGAGAAAACTCTGTTCATGTGTACCAAATCGGTCCTTAGGGGACTGTCTCAGGTAGATTGCATCACCCGCAATGTAGCAACTCCAGCACGTGATTCATTTGGCAGAGACAGTTATCCAGGGAACCCTGATGACACAGTGTGCGCTGTGGCCGCACCTCAGCAGTACTCAAGAAGTGAACGTGGGGCAGTTCAGTTCTCACTGAAGTCAGTTCTCATGTGGTGAATCCATTTGTTTCCTTCATCCAGCTGAGGGAAGTCACTGTTTCAGACACCGGGAATTCAGTAAATGCAAACCCCAAATGTCTTGTTCTCAAGTTTACATTCTAGAGAACTCTATGCCGAGCCATCATGCTGGGAAGAAAGAAAGAAAGAAAGAAAGAAAGAAAGAAAGAAAGAAAGAAAGAAAGAAAGAAAGAAAGAAAAGAAAGAAGAAAGAAAGAAAAAAAGAAAGAAGGAAAGAGGAGAGAAAAGGAAATTGGGGAATGTTTATCACAGAAATCCACATTTTCTTATATAAAACAACTCTCACTGAATTATTTCCCTGTATTTATCTGATATTTATGTGGTAAAATGAGAAACAGAAGCAGGCAAAAGTCTTGGAGCATATAATGTAAGGTATTAAGCACTCTGTAGTGGTTGTTTGAGACAGGGCCTCAATGTATAGCCCTGACTGACCCAGAACTCACTGTGTGGACTCAGGTCACAAAGATGCCCCTGCCTCTGCATCCCAAGTGCAGGCCTTAACGGTGTGCACACCATGCCTTGCCCAGTGGAGGTTGTTTTTTGTTTTGTTTTGTTTTAAGTAGAACTATAATTAATATTTGGCCTTTTGTGTGCCTATAAGAATTTTTTTCAGCTGTGAATCGCTCCCTACTAACATCTAACAATGTTAACAAGAAAGCTATGGTTAGACGCTGCTCATGTCCCTCATTTACCCTGAACACGTCCTTTAACTACTTAGAAGGGAAATGTGGACCTGTTAATGTTGAGAAGGATGTAGAATGATGGCTTATATGAGGGATGGGTTTCCATGAGAACCTCTTCTCTGTCTTCACTGGTGGCTCTGAATTCCTTCCAAATTGATACTCTCTTACTCCAGAGCACTGTCTTCACCTGTGTGACCTAGCGTGAGTTACCCATGTTGACAACAGACCAGAGGGATAGATACGAAGAAGAAGAGAAAGTCTTGGTCCCTGTCTTTAAGTGCAGGGTCTAGAAAGAACATGTGCCTGTACATATCATCGAATCTCTGCCCAGATGACATCCATCTCGTTGTTTTCCAGAATCTGTACCTGGTGACTGGAAATAATTGGAAGAAATATACAAACCATTATAAAGATGCCTCAGCTTCATGAATCTGACCGTGCTCTAGTTTGCTCTCTGTTGCTGTGATAACGCACCCTTACCAAAAGCCACTTGTGGGGAGGAAAAGCTTGTTTCAGTTCTTGGGTTATGGTCTCTTATTGACAAACAGGCAGGAAGTTGGAGGTGACTAACTTCCTATTCCATGCAGCATTACTTCAGATCAAGGGACTCACAGCCAATAAAATGCATCAGGAGTCACAGAGGATGCCGCTTGCTGGCTGGGTCATTCCTGGACCCATTCTCAGCTAGCCTTCTTACCCAGCCAGGACCACCTTCCCAGGGAATGATTCCACCCACAGTGAGCTGGGCCCCTTCTGCATCAATTAATTATAAAAATAATTTCCTGAAGGCTAGCCCACAGGTCAGTCTGATCTAGTCCATTCCTCTCTCAGATGGCTTCAGGGTGTCTTCAGCTGACAATAAAAGCACAGTCATTGTTTCTTTAAGATCATGTCACATTCCCACCTTTCCACCTTTTTAGAAAATTATCTTCCCCTTCGTTCTCTGCTAGCCTCCAGGACCCTCATTCTCAGCCCAGAGCAGGCTTGATATTTCACTGAGAAGTACAGACATCAAGCAGAGAGCCTCTGATGCCCGCCCGCTCACTAATGGGAAGCCCATGTCTAAGCCCAGCCTAAGCGCCTGTCTCACCTGCATTTTGTCCCGTTGCAATAGCTGCAACTGTGGGAAGCAACCTCTCCACATGGACTGCGGGGCGTTTACCCACCACCCCTGCAGCTCCCCAGAGTTTTCTTGAGTGTGAGCAGCAGGAAATATTAGATAGAAGGATTTATTGCGGAGAATCTCGCGGAGATAAACAGATAGAAAATAAAGGATAGCCTCGAGAGGGCCTGGAACCTATTCCAACGGGCCCTGACTGTCTCTGCCCCAGGGTTTTTATAGAGACGCCAAGGGGTGGAGCAAAAGACCTCCTTCCCCAGCACAGCCAAGTGCAGACCATCTCAGACACCTGCACTCAGGCCCGTGGTCTAATCATCCTCTATGCGGACCTGCTGGGTAAAGCCACGAGGAACCCGAGAACGGGCTCCCACAATGGACCTAGGCATCACCCCTCTTGTCTGTTTTCACATTGCTTCGTCACTTGCCCCACCTTTCCTGGGTCATATCCATCAGAACAGGAAGGCTAGTTTTCTCCCCTTTAAAAAAAAAGTGAAAAACTACTGTCTTGGCCCCCCCCCCCCCATACACACACACTAGCTTCTAATGCTTTACAGAAAAATTCCTAGAGAGGGCTTCCTGTCATATTTTTTCCTTCTGTTATCTTCTGAATCCATAGCACTGTGTTCACCTACATCTCTTCACAGAGAGCCAGGGCCCACTCCAGCCCATCCAATCACTACAATTTATTCCTAGTGTACTGAATAGTTTTAAGTCAACTTGACACAAGCTTAAGTCATTTGACAGGAGAGAACCTCAGTTAAGGAATTGCATGCATAAGATCTGGCTGCAGAGCGTTTTCTTAAGCGGTGATTGATGGGGGAGGACCCAGCCCACTGTGGGTGGGGCCATCCCTGGGCTGCTGGTCCTGGGTTCTATAAGAAAGCAGGCTGAGCAAGCCATGGGGAGCAAGCCAATAAGCAGCATCCCTCCATGGCCTCTGCATCAGCTCCTGCCTCTAGGTTCCTGCCCTGCGTGAGTTCCTGTCCTGACTTCCTTTGATGATAAACTGTGATATGGAAGCATACGCCAAATCAATCCTTTCCTCCCCAGGTTGCTTTGGTCATGGTGTTTCCTCACAACTAAAAACCTAATCAATGTGAGGCACCCTCCTCACATGGTGCCTGGGATGATTGTGATTCCCTCCTTGATAACTAAGCCATCTCAGCCTCACCAGATGGCTTCTATACCTGCCTGTGTTGAATATTAATATATAAGCACAGACTTAACCAGTGTGTGCTTCTGGTCACTTTTCATTTTATGGTTTGGTTTGTTCTGGTAGTTCTGGGCCTGGAATCCAGAGCCCAGCTCATGCGAGGCAAACTCCACTCAGCAACATCCCTGGCTTTCTGTTCATTTTTCCACAGATAAATTCTTAAGCACCAATTTACAGGAAGGTCAATGAGTTTTCTCTATAATTACAAATTAAATTTATACATAATAAGGAAAATTTGGAAAACACAGAACACAAAGTAAAAAAGAAAATAATCATTGATAATATCACTTCCCACATATGACTGTTTTTTTTTAATTTTGTTCTTTTAGCCATCTATATATGCTATGTGTATATTATAATATATATTCACTTATTTCTATGTACAACCCCTATATATAGCACCATATATGTACAAACCCCATATAGAGTGTCATATATATACAAATACATATGTAGCGCCATATATGTATAACTTCCATATATATGTACAATATGTATATAGTACTATATACAACACCCTTGTTATTGGAAAATTTTGTTTTGCCCACTGCATGCATAAACTAGATATTTCTCTTTCCTTTGCAGTCAATCAACTAATTAATTACAGAAACCATATTTTGGAATTTAAGGAAACTATGCTACGTTTAAAAAATAGAAGTGAAAGTAATCACCAAAATCTAGTGCAAGTCTTGAATGAAATGAAGTATGAAATTACCAAGACAGCAGATGCATCAGGAAACTTAGGTGCGTGCTACTTTTGCCTTTGTGAATGCTCTTTTTTTTTACATAAACTTGGAGGTTTAGATTTAGATGCTTCTGATTCTAGACTGCTTCCCCTACTAATAGTCCAGTTAACACTGGTGTTTCATTGTGAGACATGCAGAACTCAGGCAAGACACATGGATGGCACACTTTCCCCATCTCTACCATGACAGTGATTGCTCGTGTGGTCTCTGAGGTCTACCACCGTCCATGATCAATTCAACAGAAGCACCAGAAGCCCTGGCATCATCTTTCATCCCTCTTCTCTTGGAGCCCCCCCCTTCTCCTCATCACCATGTATCTGAGGGGCCACACATCTTTTCCCTCACCATCTCTACTACACTGGAACTATTAACATGAACCCCTACTTTGTTTATCTTTTTCAAAACTGAAGAAGAGATTATTTAGGAATGGTGTGACTAGAGTTGCTGAATATTAAGGGGCCACACAAAAGTTATGAAGTTGCAAGTTTTAATGAATAGGACATCCATCAAAGTATCAGGGGCACAGATCACAGCTCTTTTCGTCAGTGCTCATGGGTCCAGGACTGGCAGTTCTGCTGGTTTCTGGGGTAGCTCACAGTGTTGGGCTGAAATTAAGCACCGGTTTAAAAATAGATACTCATCAATAACCGTTGAACTACACTATTGGTGAAATTATTAAGGCCACTCCACGTAGTTAAAAGGAGATTTATTTAATGGCGTAACTTACAAATTAAGGGATAGGTAGGTCGAGGGTCTGGGGAAGGTGTATCGCAGTCCAGCGGTGTTCTCTGCAGCTCTGCTTGGCCCACCTCCACCGTCCAGGGTCCCAGAACAGAAAGAGAGTGCTGGCCCATCCAGATCTCGGGTCTCCAGGCGCCTCCCTTGGCCCCCCCTTGTAGGTGTGACAGTTGCTGAAGTCTCAATAGGGGTTGGAACTTCCAGATCAAAGCTGGAATGGCTACCCACTACACTACACACCATCTAGAATTACGATAACAATAATTCGCATATATTTCCTTGAGCACTAAGTCTGTGGATGAATTTACTAGCCCTCACTTTTAAAAAAGGTTGTATCGGGCTGGAAAGTTGGCTCAGCAGTTAGAGTGCCTCTCATCAACTAGAGAACCGCAGCTCTGTTCCCAACACCTGCCTCAGGAGCCGTGACTCCAGCCCCAGGGGATCTTATGCCATCTTAAGGCCCCAGCAGCCACCTCAAACATGCATGCATGCTAGGGTTTGCAAGCCCCCAACTCCGCCTCACAAATAAAAATTTTAAAAAACTAAAGACGCATCCCCACCAGAGAGATAACACACGGTGTGAACTCAGCGGCCCTTCTTTCTTCTCTTGCAGTTGAGAGGAAAGTGAGCATGCTGAGTGAGAATGAAATACTTCCTAACAGATTTGAAGGCCTCAGGTTCTTCCTCCCTCATCTAAGGACCGCAGGGAGCACGTACCCAGATGTAGCCACTGGCAGAGGAAAAGCAGGCGGTAAGAACAGTTAGAACTGGGAAACTAAGTTCAAGTATTTTGATCTTTGGGAGAATCTATATCTTAAAATTTCAGTTAGCATGCAAAGTCATGGGTTTCAGTGTGAGATTTGTGTGTGTCTCCGTGTCCAAGTGTGTGTTTATCATCTCTTTCTGGCCATGTTTGCCCTCCCTCACCACTTTCCCTGCCCATCCTCCCTCTTCTCAGTGGTTCCCATCTTCCTCTTCCTCCAAGAAATCCCTCTATATTTCATGGTGAAGTTTTTGGGTTTGAAGTAGTAAGATACTGGTGTGTAGACTTCTAGCCATTAGGTGTAAATTTTGAAGAAAGTAGTCACTCCACTTAGTGTCTTGGATTTAGGTTCAGTTTCATTACAGATGCTCAGAAAAATTAATTGACATATGTCCAGTACACACGAAGCACCTCTGACATGTGTCCAGTACATAAGAAACATCTTTTAAGTGCCTGGCAAAGGGTTTTTGTTGCGTAAATCCTAGATGGTCTTAATAAAAACCTGGAGCCAGATATCAGGGTGAAAGCTGAAAGATCAGAGAAGCAGAGCAAACCACAGCCACCACCTCTTGCCTTACCAACTCCTCAGCCTGGAAGAGAGCGAGTTCCTGTCTCCTCCTGCCTTATTATATTCCTTTCTCTGCCCAGCCATATCACTTCCTGTCTCAACCTTCCTAGTGCTGGGATTAAAGGTGTGTGCCACCACTGCCTGACCTCTATGGCTAACTCTGTGGCTAGCTCTGTCCTCTGATCTTCAGGCAAGCTTTATGTGTTCAAAATATCACCCTAGGTTTTCCTTGTGTGACAAACAACTTGATGCCTGGTGATCGTCCTATTCTCCCACTGTCTTATGACCAATATCAGCAAAAGATGGTTTCCAAAGAGAGGATGGCTATTTATTTATTTGTTTGTTTATTTATTTATTTATTTATTTGTGGGTCTTTTCCTTTTAGACAGGGTCTCACTATATACCCTAGACTGACCTTGAAATCATAATGCCTTTGTTTCTACCTCCTGAGCACTGGAGTTACAGCCAGGCGTCACTACTCCATGTAGAAGAGGGGCCGTGTGAGACCAGCTTGGAAGCATGAGTTCAGGTTCATCAGCACTGCAGCTCGGACCAGAGACACTGAGCCAAATCTCAGAATGTCTGACATCCCCCAAGTCTCCTTTGTTCCAGTGAGAGGGTCACTTGGGGTCAGGCTGCCAGGCTGCCGGATTCTACCTAGGGCTTTGCTGGGACAGAACCATGTTCACGTATGTCTGCTCTTGCGCTGGTGGCAGAGTTGAGTGACTGCAACAGAGCCAGCCAAAAGTCTGTCCTGTCTGACCCTTCACAGAAAAGATTTGCAGTCCCCGGACCAGCTAGTCCCTCAGGAATAAGTATGCATCACATGCCTCTGACACATTGCCCAGGCCTGGCGTGTGGAGAGAGTGGGGCTCTGAGACACTGTTTAACATCCACTAAGTTCTTACTGTTTCCCAAACTAAACTCTTGTTTTCCCATTACTTTGCTTAGTCCCCAGAAGCCAGTGCAAGAGGCTAATCACTACCTACCCTGTCTTAGACGCATGAAACAGAGGCTGCGAGACAATAAAGGGATTTTGGGGGGCTTACATTGCAGATATCTCTAACTCCATCAGAATCCCCCTTCAGAGACTTCAGAGCTTTTTGAATAGTGTGTGTGTGTGTGTGTGTGTGTGTGTGTGTGTGTGTGTGTGTGAATGATAGTTTATAGTGGAAGTTGAAAGGCAATAGGAAAAATACATAAGCTATAAGATATTAGTCATGAAGAATAAAAGTAGCCTAAACTAAATATAAACAAATATAAACAGTGAGGAAACCAGAACTGAAAAGGCTGGTGTGCACTTGCACACAGGACACTAGGGTGAACAAGACTGCCCGTAGAAGCTCAGCTCCCATCTAGATCATGCCGGGGCCGTGCTTCTCCATGCTTCCCTCATTACAGGTGCCTAAAGCCGTTGGAGATACATATTATCCCAGCAAACCATTTAGAAATGACATCACTCAGGGTTTCCACAAATGACAATATTTCAGACTATTTGTCCCACGTGGGACTCCAGCGCCTCTTCAGGAAGAAGATGGGAGAACAGCCGTTGTGGGACGATGTATACCGAGGTAGATAGGTAAAAGCTGTATTAACGAACGGAAAATGTTTCATCTTATTTTCTCTACAACAAAATTCTCCAGCGTGAAAACACTTTGGAGTCTAGTGCACTCGCTCACAGTACAAATGACAGAAAATGAAAAGCAGAACATAAAGTAACACTGTGCAGTGTTTGGTAGTATGGCTCAAAATGCTCTTTTTGGCAAGCACAAGACCAACTCACTCACGGGTAAGCGTGATCTGATGGTAAGTACGGCTTGCCCCATGTCTGTGCCCGCTTACAGTTTCTTTCGCATTGGGAATCACCACTATTAACAGAAGGAACCACACCTACCTGAAGCAAACGCTGACTTCTGTTCTGTCCAGAATGACGCCTGAAGAAGAGGAGGACTCTGTGGTGATTGTCTGTGTCGCTGACGTATGTATGGGAACCGGGGTCCTTCATCCCTCTCTGTAGCCTCTAAACCCCCCTCAGCAGCCACTATTCCATCAGGATTTTGTTTTTTCACTTAAAGGAAGCACCCCAGAGATACCTTTGAGAGTCTAGGTGAAATATTTAGTACTTATTTGCTACCACTGGGAAAGACTGTGTATGGAAACATGAATCTTATATGAGAGACATAATTTAAAACCAAATTTCATTTAACATAGGATGTTTACATTCAATAAAATACAAAAATTCAATTTAATTATAAATTCAATAATTTAATTGTAATTATAAATTTCAAATAGAATATTGAAATTGTTACTGAAGTGATAAAAATCTGACTAACTCAATAAAAGGTAAGTATATGCATTATTAAGTTCTGGTAACTACTGTTAATTGAAGGCTCCTTCCTAGGCCTAAGGGGTTGTGGAGAATTGTCTAGACATCATTTATAACCTGCATAACATCTCTGTAAAGTGTGTGTCATGGCCCTGATTTTATTTATTTATTAAAGCACCTATCTCCTTTTTTATTTTTTATTATTTAAAACAATTTTTAGATTTAATCATATTTTGATTAAATACTTCCCCTCCCTGAAGTCCTTCCAGATCCTCCTCCATAGCTACCCTACTTTAAGTTCTTTCTCAAAAACGAACAAAAGTTCAACACAACAACAAACCCCCAAAACCAAGAAAACAAAATAAAACACCACCATCCCAAAACAAACAACACCAAATAAAACACACACACACACACACACACACACACACACACACACACACACACACACACACACGTATGCATGCATGCACTCACGCACACATGCACACACCCCAAAAAACAAACCAACCACTGTGGAGTCCATTATAAGTTGGTCAATTATTCCTGAGCATGAGGCCTGCCCTGGAGTGGTTGATGTACCCAGTGTCACTCCATTGGAGAGAACTGATTTTACTTTCCCAGCAGGTATAAATGACAGTTCAGTTGTTAACCTTTAACCTAGTCACTAGGTTTTCATTCATTCATTCATTCATTCATTCATTCATTTAACAATATAACAAAGTAAAATATAATAAGATAAAACAAAAACTATCACATCAAAGTTGGACAAGACAAACCCACGGAAGAAAAGGGGCCCACGAAAAGTCACGAGAGACAGAAGACCCGTGCAGGCCCTGTGCATGCTGCTTCAGTCTCTGGGAGTTTGTGAGCTTTGCTCATGTTGATTTAGAGGGCCTTGTTTTCTTGGTGTCCTCCATCCCCTCTGGCTCTTACACTCTTCCTGTCTCCTCTTGGGGGTGGGTGTCCCTGAGCTCTGAGGGGAGGGATGGATGAGAGCGTAAAGAAGATATATTGCCCACGAACTAATAGACTCAGGTATAGGACTCTTCAATGGCTACATCAGTTTCTTTTTCACCCCAACCCTAAAGTAATCACGATTTCATTTTGAAAATTTGAGTAAAACTATAAAGAATTGTGTATTGGTATCATAGACTTTTGTGAAGAAGAGTTGGCAACGTATCACATTTCAAAATTCAAATTCTGGTAACTTGTTCTTAGGAGACAGGCAAGTGTCTGAGCACAGGGACAGCGTGAGGACATAGCAAGCTAACCAGGGACACAGACTGTGCCTGCGTGGTCATCCTCCAGTAACACTGCTCTGCTCCCTGCCACGTGACCTGGGCAGTCCAGGGAGCTTTTCTGTGCCTCACTTCATCTGTAAAGTCAGGCTGATAGTATTCTTTGTGTTGCAGGTCTTTTGAGACTGATATTAGCTAATATAAATTCAAATCTGTGCCTGGAGTGATGCTCATCTCAGAATGAATGTCAGACACAAAATAATTCTAAGGTGTTTCACTTTAGATGCATAAGAGTGGATGTACTAATTTAAGTGTGATTAACGTAACATTCCATACTTTGACACGTGGAGAAGTGTGGAGTAGTTTCTGTATCCAAGTAAATGTTCTTTAAAATAAATGTGTATATTTTATATTTTCTCCTAGAAAGTGAAAACACTAGAAATTATTAGGGCATGATGATATTTCACACATAAATTCCATGTAGCAAACAAAAGTGTTGTCTTGATAAAACCATGAGGCATCCTTAATTTCAATGATTTTTCTTTTCTTTTTTTTAGACTGATGGTTATTTAAATTCTGTTGTTGACATGGTTAAAACAAAGTAAGTACTTTCTGATACATTTCAACATCAGCCACTCTTTATTTTTATGTTCTACTCTTTCCTGTCCAATTGTGTTATTATTTATTGATCGTATTCTCTTCAGTGAATCTGAACCATGGAAAATGAGCCTGTGGCTTTTTCCAATCTGTGATAAAGTATAGCACAGAATCTTTCCTGCGTCTGCAGACTTCATACTGGAATCCATATTTCCTTGTTGTATCTGCCCCCTTCCCCTGGAGATGGGGGAAGGCAGGGATGAGGCAGCTCTAGGGATGTAAGTCAACTTCCTGGGGCAGAGAAGAATAGAGAGCTCGTGCCTGGTACAGAGAACATGGGAAAGAAAGGCAGAGGCCAAAAGGGCAATGTGCAAGGCTTTTGGAACTTTAAGTTTACTTGGAGCATAGATATTTGAGGTTAAGTAGGGAGGTATGATAAGCCATGGAGAGATTCTGTCCAAAGCTAAGGAATTTGCAGTTTTCTATTGATCAGGGCCCTAACCCTGGCCACAGGGCTGAGTCTAGCTAACAGGAGTGTAGCCAGCAGTGATGTATTCTGTCTTTGTCTACTCCATTTAGAAGTTGACGTGGATAAGACAAAAACAAGTGGGTAGGGATTTGTCAAGATCACAAGTGAAAAGAGAACCATTATCTGATGCATGTGAACACTTGGAGTTTGCTCTATAGTTTCAGAGATAGCGTCAGTGGGGGTTGCAGAGATGCCCAGCTGGTAAAGCACTTGCCTTGCAAGCCTTCGAACCAGAGTTCAGATCCCACATTAAGAAAAAGAAAAAAGCCACGTGGGAATGGCAGTCCCCCTGTAATCCAGTGTGTAGGAGGCAGAGACGGAACCCCTGAACAAGCAAGCTGGCCAGACAAGCTGAATTGGTGAGCTCTCTAAGATGAAGTGGGAGATCCTGCCTCGATACAGAAGGAAAACAACCCACATCAGCTCAGGCCTCTGCACACACACACAAACATAGGAACATGAATACACACAAGCACAGCATAGACGTGTAAAAACCGGTGGCCTCAGAAACTGCTGTTTTATAGCTGAAAATAAAGAATATAAGGAAATTATATGAGAGATTTTAGAGGTGATTCTAGGGTTGATAATAGTATTGATGTTAATGCAGGGCACTTTGAATAATTATTCCTAAATTGTGACAATGCAATAAATCAATTATTTTATTTTGTGTGAGTTAATATGTATGTGTATGGGTGTGGTGTGTTTGTATGCAGTGGTGTGTGTGTGTGTGTGTGTGTGTGTGTGTGTGTGTGTGTGTGTGTACCACCTGTACGCATGCAGAGGCCAGGGGAGGACTCAGGCCCCCTGTTTTACCACTCTCTACTTTATTCCTCTGAGGGTATTCAGCTGTACCTGGAACTAGAACGATAGCCAGCCAGCCCGGGAATGCTCCTACCTCTGCCCCCCAACAGCACCAGGGTTATAGGGGTGCACACAGTCATTCCTGGCTTTCCGTGGCTTCTGGGGTCCAAACTCAGGTGTCATACGTGCACAGCAGACTATTTTACCCCGTGAACCATCTCCCCAGCTCATTTCATCATTTCAGATGAACACATTAATAGAATAAGTAATTTCAAAATTTAGTGATGAGACTTGGGCTGTGATTTGTTGGCAATCCTGGGTTCAATCCCTAACCCAACATTTTTCTAAGTGATTGTTTCTCAGTTGTTATATGTCAGTTAATGTGAATGCATAAATTTCAATTCGTGTTTAATTTCATACCGTTCAGCATCTTGTCCAGATCTTCCAGAGTAACATTAGATTTGAATTGATCATTAATTTTTAAAGCACTAATGATGTTATATACATAAAACTTTATTGAGACTGAACATAACTGTATTTTATACAAAAGCATGTTACTGCAAGTTTTCCCCTTACATATCACTATGAAGAAGGCTATTCATTTATAGTGGTAACTGTCAGTTCTGGAAGTCACCTCAAGGACGTGAACTGTATGTAACAGAAACCAACAATTCCGAAATGTTTCAGAAAACCCTAGAAAGCTATCACCACCCAGGACTGCAAGAGACGAGACCTCTCTCCATCAGTAAGGGGAAATTATGCCACCCAATGGGAAGTTACTTGACCTTTGGTGCCTTAGGATTTGGGGTGATGTTGTCTGTGGTGCAAACTTCCTATTAACCTCCGCAGTCCAAGCTTCCCCAGGAGTGTGGACACTGAAGTTTCGTGTGATCTTTATTTTCCTCTACTGTACGCAACTCCTATATCTGCCTTAAAGTTACACAATTTCATTTTAAAATTAGATACTCCGTCACTTATTTTACTCCTCTTTTCTCCCATACCAGTAGCTTCCACTCTCTGAGGAAATATTAGAATTAATTCTTTTAAGTTTTACATTAGAAGGTGGGCAGACCTTATAATCCTGGTACTATGGAGGCAGAGGCAGGAGGCCATAGTCATGTTAAAACATCCACATAATCTAGTGGGCAGTAGAGGTGAGTTCGGCCAAGTCTAGCTAGCCATGTAGACTAACTTCAGAAACTGCACTGCTGTTGAGCAGGGCTCTTAGTAGACGGAAATGTATCTATTTGGAGAGTGATCTGACCCAGCTGCTTTCTTATTGTAGTCTGGTCTCTCTCCTCCTGACTGCCGAAGGATGCCTTTGACCATCTTAAGAAAATTCACAGTATCTATAATCCCGTGGGAAATTTGTTTTATATTTTGCATTCTAATTTTAAATGTTTTATTTATTTTTTCTGTGTTCATGATATGGGGTCATGCATGCCACAGTTTGGGCATGGAGGGCAGTAAACAACTCTGTGGTAATTGGTTCTCTCATTCACTTTTATGTGGGTTCCAGAGATGAAACTTGGGTCACTGGCCTTGTGGGACAAGTGTCTCTACCCACTGAGCCATCTTGCTGGCCCCATATGTTTTAGTCTTTTTTTTTTTTTGTATACCTTTCATTAGTTTATAAATATTTTGGCTAGGAAATAGTACTTACATGTTATTGGTAGCAGGTAGCAACCTGTGAGATAATCCAAATCAATGTCATGTGGACATGCATAGAGAACATATTTTGAAGTATCTGCATTAGTTTGTTAAGTTAAGACTTTCAGCTATATCGGTATTCAGCCTCCCTGTACTTCTGTTTCTAGATTCAAAAGGCAGGTGCAGTCTGGGTCCTTGGAAGTCATTTCAATACCCACCTTCTTTTATCCGAGTACACTACTGGACAAGGCAATGGTGGACTCAGAAAGGTAGGTCAAAGAATGGACCTGAAAGAGCTGACGTCCTCAGAATGTCCTAGAATGGGGACCTGAGAGATAATAACTCCAATAGAGTGACATGGGGAAGCCACCCCTTACTGACTCACAAGGATTGTCTGTGAACCACATTCTGAGTCCTAGTTGAATGACATTTAGTTGGTAGCATGAAATCAGCCATAGTATTATTCCAAGAAAATGGGCAAAAGATGCACAGGAGGAGCCGCCGCCCTCCCATTCTGAATTGATTGGCAACACTTGCCAGCACGCCGCTGAGGATGCTCTGCTCATGTTTACAGACAATGATTAATGGAGACACAGTGAAGGAGGCGGGGAGCTCATTGCTCCTGGAAGCTACTCCCAGCTTTCCTATGCATTTCCTAGTCATTTTAGACAGGTAAATCGGCCTTTCCCCCTAATTTCCTTCACTTTGTCAATACATTCAATGAAATAGTATAGATACACAGTGTTTAATAGACAAACCAGATCATTTGGAAGTTACAAGAATAAAACACCACAGTATTTATGAAAGAATATTAGAAAGTTGAAGCCTTTGTATGCACACAAATGATTATATATTTCTGGTAATAAATACAGTATTGTGAGAAATATATTGAGTTGATTTCTCAAAAAAAAATTCTGGTGCCCATGGGAGGCCTGCCCCTTTCTGCCTGGATACAGAGAAGGGGCAGATTGAGGGGGACAGGGGGCGGTGAGGGAGCAGGAGGACTGGAAGGAAGGGATGCAAAATAAATAAATTGATTAATTTAAAAAATAAAGAGAAAGGCTTTCCAAAAATCTCAGGGGAATCCCTTCCCCAAGAACTATTACATATTGTATGGCATTATGTCCTATGTGGTGTGTTTGACTCTCAACTACGTAGGGCTCTTGTTTGTCACTGCGTTGGTCCCAGACCTTGGCTGGCCTGCAGCCTGTCACCTCTGTCCTCTCCCTTGACAGCCTGGGTACCATCCCCCCAGCCCACCCCACTGCCGTGGGCTGGCTCAGGCCTGCTCTGGCACAGGCATATTTCTGTCTGTCTTCTCTTAGACTCCCTCTCCATGGTCAGAGGACTCTGTCTTTCATATGAGATCAAGTCCAGTGCTTCCCCTATGTCATAAGACACCCTTCATGCTGTGGATGATCTCCAGCACCCCTGCTTCCCCAGGGGCCCTAACCCTCCCTGCTCTGTAGCTGAGGTGGCTAGCTCCTCCATGCTTCAGGCCTGGGCACTGTATTTCAGCTACATGCTGTACCCTGGTTCTTTCTGTTCCACTTTTCTGCTCTTCCCATCTTGTCGTACAATGATCTTCACCGTTGATGACTTTACCCAACACAATCTAATTACGCTAATTTTCCCATTTCTGTTTTAATAGTCAATGAGACCCCAGGGCAAGAAGTGTCCTGTTCTGTGTATCTCCAGGACATGGCCTAGTGTCCTATTTGCTAATAAAGTACAATCAGATTTCTAAATACTTTTATGTGATATTTTAGTTTGCTGTTTGTTGTTGTGATAAAGCACTGACCAAAAGCACCCTCGAGGAGGAAAGGGTTTCTTTTGCTGACAGTTCCACATGACAGTCCAGCACTAAGGACGCCAAGGCGGGAGCTCAGAGTAGCAACAATGGAGAAACGCTGCTGATGGGCTTCATCTTCAGCGCTGGCTCAGCTGCCTCTTATGCAGCCTAGGACCGCCTGCCCAGGGGTGGCACCGCCCACAGTGGGCTGGGCTCTCCGGCAGCAGTTATTAATGAAGAAAATACCCCCACAGCTGCCCACAGGCCAGTTTGATGGAGACAGTTCCTCAGTTGAGGGTCCCTCTTCCTAAGTGACTCCAGTTTTTGTCAAGCTCACATAAACTAACCGCATAGATAGTAATTTATTATTTAAATAAAAATTTAGCTAAAATGCAAAAGATGTAGTTCCTGCTTGTTCAAGTTAAGCAGGGCCAGGTACTGCTCACTCAGTAGAGAAGCTTCTTAGTATAACTTTAGTATAAATATATTCATTTGTATTCACTGGCTGTATGGTTCTGTCAGAAAATGTAAAAGTGTCATTTAATTACTGAAATATGCTTATAAATTAATCTGCTATAATGAACATTAACAGATTTTATTATTTATTTTTAGTTGGCAAATAAAACAAGCATTGGATTATTGTATTTTGATGCTGTATGCCCAACCCAAGGCCACATATTATTTACAGGTGAAAACTTGGTAGACATGAATTTTAAATGAGAACATTACTTTTTCGATGCTTCCTTTAATTCCTTTCTCCTTGTGTTTCTCTGCCTTAGTCTGTAGCCAAGCAAATAGGAAATATTTCTGAAATCAGTGTGCCCGAAGGAAGCTTAAGATTGCTGTGTTTCCTGTAGCAGAGAGAATTAAAGTTAGAGGTCACAAACTGGAAAGGCAATCTAAGGCTCCTGGGAGGACACGGAACTGCCCTGTGTCCATGGCTAAGCCTTACTGTGGCTCGTGCTGTGGACCCGCCCAGATGGCCACCACAGCCTTCCTCTCACCCTGTGTGGGGCGCTGTTCTATACTGCCTTAGTGTAGCCGGAAAAGCGAGTCCTTCATGAACATCCGTCTCCTCTCAGTCACTCCAGATCGCCGGACAGTGGCATGGCTCCCATCATAAGCACATACCTCACTACAAAGAAAACTGTGGGGGGCTGGAGAGATGGCTCAGAGATTAAGAGCACTGCTTGTTCTTCCAAAGGTCCTGAGTTCAATTCCCAGCAACGACATGGTGGCTCACAACCATCTGTAATGAAATGAGATCTGGTGCCCTCCTCTGGCCTGCAGGGATATGTGCAGACAGAATACTGTATACATAATAAATAAATCTTTAAAAAAAAAAGAAAGAAAGAAAGAAAACTGTGCCCTTGTGAAGTTTTCAGAATTATCAGTAGAGGGCAGAGGGGAGGCTGGAGAAAGGCTGAAGGAAAAGGAGTAGAGGAACATCAGCTGCAGCCCGAGTTCTTTTCACTCTGGGACAAGGGTTCTGGTTTGTGCCCTCCTGATGGGGCTGATGTGGCAAGCTCCTTGTACATAAAATCAAAAAAGACAGCTCTCACCCTCACCCCCTTTCCTAGGGCGGCCTCCTTCTAAGGATTCTGGTGGCATGCTTCTGACCAGCCGGGTGTGGGTGGGAATGGCCAGCTCCTTCCTGCCACCTCTCAGCAAAGGACCATAGCAGCTACAGACAGAAGCTGGCAGCATTACTTCAGACACAGAGCATGTCTGTGTCCACTGTTCTCTGGATGTTTTTGTGTCTGCCCTAAATTACTGTGCTGAAGTCCTAGTTCTCAAATGTGTGGTATTTATAAAGCTGTAGGACCTTTGGGGTCTCATTTGGTCCCGAGGATAGAATCCTAATGATTGGGATCAGTGTTTTTATACAGAAGGACTCTTCTCTCTGCCAGAGAACACAATAAGACCTCCATGAAGACTGGGCGTTGGCAGGCACCTCGTCTCCTAGCACCTGGGTCCTGGGCTCCCCTGAGTCCAGAACAGCTAGAATGAACAACTTTACTGTTGTGTATGAGCCAGCCTATGGAATCTTGTTAGAACAACCAGAATGGACTAGAATCATCTTAATTAGAAGCTGAAATGTTGATGAGAATTAAATTGAATTCAAACGAGTCTCAAAGAGGACTTAAGTAGAATGTTCTGGGTTAGCATTTAGGAGAGAAAAAGACACTTTTAGATCTGATTACTCTCATAATCAGAGAATGAAATTTGACTAACTGAAAATAGCCTAAATGAATTGAACTAAAGATTATCATCTCATCAAAGACATTTCCAGTGTGTTCTATTGAAAGCATTTTTTGTCTTTGAGATATTATTAATTTAAGGAGTCATTTGCGGTATTAATGCTGTTTTTGTATTTGGATTTTTTTTCTCTAGCTAGAAGATGATATCGTAGCGAAACAGATGTATTTTACAAAAATGAAAGATTTTGTAAATAGTCTCACTTCAAAAAACTGGCTGTATATTGAGTTTTCAGTACTTGGATTTATAGGTAAGCCATAGTCTATTGTGTGAATCATGTTGAATTAAGCTCGCTTGCTTTCTCTCTCTCTCTCTCTTTCTTTCTTTCTTTTTCTCTTTCTTTCTTTCTTTCTTTCTTTCTTTCTTTCTTTCTTTCTTTCTTTCTTTCTTTCTTTCTTTCTAGGCTCTTGTTATGTAGCTAAGGTTGAACCTTGAACTCTCAATCAGGCTGGACCTCAAAATCTTAATCCTTCTGCCTTGTCCTCAGTGCTGGGATTATGGGTGTGTACCAACACCCTCTGCTTAGAGTAAGGGTTTGTTTTTCTGTCTGTCTGTCTGTTACTTTGCACAAAATAGTCTTAAAACTTTTTTTGTTGTTTTTTTTTTTCGAGACAGGGTTTCTCTGTGTAGTTTTGGTGCCTGTCCTGGATCTCGCTTTGTAGACCAGGCTGGCCTCGAACTCACAGAGATCTGCCTGCCTCTGCCTCCCGAGTGCTGGGATTAAAGGTGTGTGCCACCACGAACTTTTAAAGAACATATCAAATAGTTTGTTATCATACTAAGTGGAAAGGCATGGCCTGATTCCTGTATGGATAATATGACTTTAATGGTAAAGCCGGATCCGTACACCTGAACTATAGGTAACAATATTTTGATCATTTTTTTAGGTAGACAATATAAATGAGCAAATTAACACATATACACATATTATAAAAACATAAAATTGGGTGCTATGAGTTACGCACATGTTCAGTGACAAGTATGTCCTATCACTCCTTTGTGTAGAAGAATGCTAAGGGACCAGGGTTATACCCTAGTTGGACAGTATATGCTCAGCACATGCTAGACTCCAAGTCCTATCCTGATACTTCAGTCAACAAACTGACCAATTAAAAACCCCAACTGATTCTCAGAGAAATGAAGTTGCAGGGAAAGGAACTCAGGGCTGTGGTGTAAGTGTCTAACTTCCAATATGTCAAAGTTGCTACTCTTAACATAGAAATGATTTAGTGACCCAGAGACGGCTCAGTTGGTAAAGAGACCGCTGTGTAAGCACAGGGGCCCAAGTTTGGGTCCCAGAACCTGTATAAACATCAGCCATGGTGGAGGGGCCCATACCAGCTTTGAGAAGACTGGAGAGAGGCAGATCCTGGAGCTCATTGGCCAGCCAACCTAGCTGAACAAGTGTCAGGTTCTGTGAGAGACACTCCCTCAAAACGTAAGGTGGAGATGATCAAGGCAGACACCCAAATAGTGACCTTGGTCCTCCTTGCGCGTGTGTTCCTGCGTACACGTGGACACACACCACACACATACACAACACACAAAAAGAAATAATGTATGAATTATACTGGCCACAGAAAAGTTCCTGTGACAGTGCTCATGGTGATTCCAGTTTCTACAGTCATTATTAGATGTCCTTTTCCGTCCGTCCGTCCTTCCTCTCAGCCTCTCCCTTGTTTCTTTGAGCTCCGTGGTCTCAGCTGGGTTCCTGAGCCCTCATTTCCTGGTCTCAGGTGGGTTATTGGTCCCCTCATTTCCTGGTCTCAGGTGGGTTCTGAGCCCCTCATTTCCTGGTCTCAGGTGGGTTATTGGTCCCCTCATTTCCTGGTCTCAGGTGGGTTTCTGCACCCTCATTTCCTGGTCTCAGGTGGGTTATCATGCCCTCATTTCCTGGTCTCAGGTTCCTGCCCCTCATTTCCTGGTCTCAGGTGGGTTCTGAGCCCCTCATTTCCTGGTCTCAGGTGGGTTATTGGTTCCCTCATTTCCTGGTCTCAGGTGGGTTCTGAGCCCCTCATTTCCTGGTCTCAGGTGGGTTATTGGTCACCTCATTTCCTGGTCTCAGGTGGGTTTCTGCACCCTCATTTCCTGGTCTCAGGTGGGTTATTGTGCCCTCATTTCCTGGTCTCAGGTTCCTGCCCCTCATTTCCTGGTCTCAGGTGGGTTCCTGAGCCCCTCATTTCCAGGAATCCGACATTAATTAATATGATAAGCACTCTCTTATTTTACTCTTTTAAAGAAAAAAAATCCCAGTTTCCTACTTTCACTTTGACACTGTCTAAGTAGTTTTAAATTCTACCAGGTTCAAAATTGACTTAGAAACAGAAACATATCCAAGTGAAGGCGTCTGCTGTTTCCCACGCTGCCACCTGTTTTAAATCTATTAAACAGTAGGTAGTGTGATACAGGGAGTGTGATAAACCTTTTTTTTTTGTTCCTTACATTTTTTTACCTTCAAAGCTATGCTTCAAACTCTCAGGGTCTTGATTAATGTCCATCTCTAATCAGCTTCTTACTGCTGCCAGCTTTCTGCTACAACAGGAAAGAGGGCACGAGGGTTTGCCCGCCACCGCGCCACCGCCACCGCAGCTGCCTTCTCCCCCCACCTCCCCCACCCCACGCCCACCCGGGACCAGGGAGGGGGAACAGCTCTGTCCCTCTGTGCAGTCAGCCTTCCCACAGAAAAGCTGAGTGCATTTGGCTTCAGGCGCCTCTACCACGGATTTGCCTTCTCTCCTTTCAGTTTCTCTGGCACCCACCCACCCTCTCTGGGCATTCCGGAGTCTGTGTAATTTCCTCTGAATGATAAGAAAGCCCATCTGTTCTTCAGATGCGCACTCAATCACATTTCTTTCCCAAATTTCCTGTCACATTTTAAGAGCTCAAATGTGTTTCACTCAGCCTTGGTGAAAATAAGAGAAAGTACAAATAACCACAACACCCAGCGGAAAACCTGGAGGAGAAATGGTACTGTAGCTGCATTATTCTGAGAACTTGAAATCCTCAAAGAACTTCACTGTCAGCAGTTAGGAGAGGGAGAGAGACAGAGACAGAGACAGAGAGAGATAGGGAGGGAGAGAGAAAAGGAGAGAGAGAGAGAAAGGGAGAGGGGGGAGAGAAGGGAGAGGGAGAGACAGAGGAGAATTTATGTTCTCATCACTGTGAGAGCACACTGAACAAGGAGCACTCACGTATGTGACTCTAAAGACTTATTTCAGTTTCATTTCACACAGCCTTAATTTTTGTTACTCTGGAAGCCAGAAACAAAATAGGATTTTGCAGTTTGCTGATAACAGAAGGGGACATAAATTAACCATTTTCATCATTCAATTCAACATCAGCTAACAGTTGAAACACAATTGTACATTTCATGTTAAATGTTTTACATAGCCTCAAAATAAAAAAAAAACGTAGTATGTGTCCATCCAACTTACTAAATGGAGCAAATTATTTTATGCTACATACTTTAAAACAAGCATCCAACTGAATCTTTTCAGTTTCACCTTAAAGTTCAGGACTCAGAGTAACGGAGAGAAAAAACTAACTGGGCCTAACTGATCCTATTTTTAAAATATGGTGTATCTTTAAGAACCATAAATCTAAAATAGTATTCTACCTTATAAATACCTGATTAAACAATTTTCAAATTTTGAAATATACAGTATTTTAGTAAAAAATAGGACTAAAAGTTACTATGTAGTAGGTTCATTGAGTGTTACCAAGGTCGGGTAAAGAGGCTTTGTACAGAGCTGAGAGACAGTGGCCTTCTCACATTTTCCGCTCTGTTGCCTTCCATGTGATTGAGACAAATGGTTTGCGTGAGATCAAAATGGGTTTCCTGGGAGAACAGCCAGATGTGACGTTTCTCACAGACCTGTCCCTTTAGAACTACTAGTTCTTGGTACATTCTGAAGCGAATGTGAGGCTTTGTCTTCTTGTCTCCCAAGCTCAGTGGCAAGTTAAAGTTCATTGCTAAATATAAACAAGGGGTAACCATGTTCTCAGAACACTTGCTCCTTTGAACGGAACAGACAGTGCTCATGTTGTACATGTTGTACACATGTTCACGAGTTTGCTTTTCTCCACAGGAAAACTCTTTCAATCGAAGGACCTGCTTGACTTTGTACATTTTTTCTTGATGTTCTACAAAGTGAAGCCCATCGATATGCTCTTAAATGACGTTTTCCTGGTGAGGATGTGCAACTTGGGAGAGCATCTTGTAAGTATCCTTGGTGAGGGTGTGCAACTGAACTGGAGAGACCCTGTGTGAGTGTCCCCAGTGAGGGTGTGTAACTGGGGAGATCCTGTGTGAGTGTCTCCAGTGAGGGTGTGTAGCTGGGGAGACCCTGTGTGAGTGTCTCCAGTGAGGGTGTGTAACTGGGGAGACCCTGTGTGAGTGTCTCCAGTGAGGGTGTGTAACTGGGGAGACCCTGTGTGAGTGTCTCCAGTGAGGGTGTGTAACTGGGGAGACCCTGTGTGAGTATCCCCAGTGAGGGTGTGTAACTGGGGAGGCCCTGTGTGAGTGTCCCCAGTGAGGGTGTGTAACTGGGGAGGCCCTGTGTGAGTGTCCTTACAGAAACGCCAAACAGACTGAGAAAATACCATCATGTCACACAATCACTGCAATATTTTTATTACCAAAATAATGATGAGTGCAGCAGAATGTTAAGCTTCCGTGTCCTAAATTCTGCTGCTATCTCCATAATGTTAAATGAAATAATGAGGACCCAAAATAATGCTGAGAAAAATCACAACACAGGGACAAGAAACAAAGAATAACAACAACAACAAAAACCCAAGTCCCTAAAACAACAAAAAGAACAGAGGTAAATAGCAGGAAAAAAAATAAGACATCAATGCAAGCATTTCAATATTTGTGTTAAGTGTAAATTGTCCAAATGCACAAAGACAGATTATCAGAATGTTTTCTTAAATGACTGTGTGTATGTGTGTATGTGTGCCTGTGTGTGAGTGTGTGTGGGTGTGGGTGTTCAGTCCAAATGTAGGGTGCAGATTAAAGGATCTACATGGGAAAAGTAGACCACACATAGTGTAAGACATCCAGAAAAGTCAGGGTAGTGCCAGCCAGGGTTCCATAGTGGACCGTAGAGCAACAGAAAACAGAGCAGAGCTGCTGCTCCAGACAGTCGAGTGGCCTGGTGGTTCCACAGATGTTCCACTGGGGACTGCCAGACTTGAGTTTGAAAAGAGAACTGATCTTGATAAGTCACTAACAGCTCTGATAAATTGAAAAAGAAGACAAAAGGCACCAGTCTTCGAATGAGAAAATACGGTGACAGAAATCGCAGGCTTTAATAGGATAATGAATGCTACAGTTACATACATGTAACCAATTCGCAGGCCTTAATAGGATAATGAATGCTACAGTTACATACATGTAACCCCAACGTAAGTAGGATAGCAAATGCTACAGTTGTATACCTGTAACCTCAAGGTCGAAAGGAAACGGGTGCCCAGCAAGCCTCACACACTGCGGAAACGCATCTGTGATGGAACAGATGACCTGAATAGTCTATGTGTAAGACAGAAATTCAGTCAATAAATAGAAGCTCTCTGAGAAAGAAGTGTCCAAGTCCTGTTCATAAGTGAGTTCTATCTAAACATTTAAAGAACAAATAATAATGTTCAGATGAGTTTTACATTTTTCTGCTTTTTCTAAAAACAGATCTTGCCTCGAGTTTATTTGTAAAAACACCATACAGCACTATCTGCAAACAGTGTGTAGATATGTCGACTGACGCAAACATCAGTCCATCTGTCTTCACACTGGCAGACAGAAGCCTTTTCTAAGTTTGGAGCTGAGAATCGAACCCAGGGTCTTGAGCTTGCTAGGCAAGCGCTCTACCACTAAGCTAAATCCCCAGCCCCCAACCAGGACTTTTCTATCTGAGGGGTTTTAGGGAGAGAAGACACTCATGCACTCTCCTAATGGATTCTTTCTTTATTCTCTCCTGTTCCTCTTCCCCCACCACTTAAATATTCCAACAGAGTCTTTCAGGCAATACAGGAGTCATAAAGAGGTTACATACCATTTCTCAAGTGAATGATTATTAGTAAAAATATGTCCCAGGCATCGTAAAAACAAGTCAAACTAACCCATGACTATGTAAACATTTTGAACTAACACTCTATAATTAGAAGTCATAAATTCTGAGTTCTCCTAGATCTCAGAGTTGGCTGGTGAGTGCCAGGTTTCAGACAAAGAGACACTAGGGGTGTCATAGAGTCTCTAGTTCCAGCTCAAGTCAATCTCCTTGAGCTACCATATTTCTTTTAGTATCAGCTCAGCCAGCACTTTCCACAGTTCTATGACCATAACACTTAAATCTTAAAATGTACTTTCTGCTCTGTGTGTAACTCCTGACTATCCAAGAAAACCTGTAACCCTTGTTTTGGGGCTACAGAGTCAAATTATTCTCTGTAGCCCTGACTAATCAGAATTTATTTTCACAAATTGAGGTCATGAATGGGTACAAGGAATGAATTATTTTCCAGGTAGCAATAATTGAACTGTCTTGTATTTATGACCTAGCTAGTCAGCTCAGCATGTGTCCTTGTGAACTACAGATTGCTTTTCTGGGAATGTTTATCTTTAAAATCATTAGCAAGGCATCTGGTCTAATCTAAAGCTATTTTGAAGTTTTGTTTTACCTAATGGTGCATATGAAACCCATGACTGCATTTCTCAGCATTAAGATTAAGGAAATTTGAGCCAGCTTTGCTCCTGGACTCAAATGTTTTTCTAAATCATAAATCTGATCTGTGTTCTAAAGCAGCTAAGTGAAACTCATAGGCCTCACAGAACTCATAGGCCTTAGCTATGAAACATATCCTAGTATTTATTTTTATTCATCAAAACTCTGTATGAATTGGAGGATTCATCTTCCTGACAATCCATTGTGGTGGTATTGTGTTCCCCAAAATATTGTGTACCTTAATAAACTTATCTGGGGTCAGAGAACAGACAGCCACTAGATACAAAGGCTAGAAAATGGTGGCACCCACACCTTTAATCCTAGCATTCCAGAGACAGAAATCCCTCTGGATCTCTGTGAGTTCAAGGTCGCATTGGAAACAGCCAGACATGGTGACTCATGCCTTTAATCCCAGAAAGCAGCCTTTAATCCCAGGGAGTGGTGGTAGAAAGCAGAAAAGTTTATAAGGCGTGAGGACCAGAAGCTAGAAGCATTTGGCCTGGTTAAGCATTTTGGCTGGTTAAGCTTCAGGCTTTCGAGCAGCAGTTCAGTTGAGAGCCATTGGGATGAGGACACAGAAGCTTCCAGTCTGAGGAAACAGGACCAGCTGAGGAATTGGCAAAGTGAGATAGCTGTGGCTTGTTCTGTCTCTCTGACCTTCCAGTGTTCACCCCATTACCTGGCTCAGGTTTGATTTTATTAATAAGAACTCTTTAAGACTCATGCTACAATCCATATATATAAATACCCAGTAAATCAGGATGTTTTCAAGAGATAAACACACTACAATACAGGCAGTGGAGGATTGGATATGTACATCCATATACATCATATCAGATATCAGGGAAAGATTGTAACAGCAAACATGTGAAGGTAGAGCAGAAACAAAAGATATTCTGGAGTCTGTAGCCTCGTGGCCTTGCCTAATGAGGTTATACCCATCGGAGAGTTTTTCTTCTGGTGGGCCAACACCCGAAACCTCAATTGTCACCTGCTGTTCCTGTGACAGAGCCTGAAAACCTTGGCCATGTAGCCTGAAATCTGCTTCTCAAGCTTGGGATGAACAATTAGAGCAGGATGGCTGAGTTTGTGTTGGAGCCCTTTAGCATCTTGGGCTTAACTGGTTGCCTTGACTACACAAGGTCTTTAATGGCCTCTGCACATGCACGGATTGCCTTTGTGTTGTTTGCCTGCACCGTCTTCAGGTCTTAATTATTATGCTTCTTGGTAAAGCACATGTTCCACAGGAACTTGGGGTTTACCTCCTTACGGGATTCCTATCTTTGTGACTGGGGTTTCTTGATGCTATTTCTGTGCTGTTTGGGGGATTGATTATGTGTGGTGTGTGGTTCTTGGCCATGTCTGCACAGTAGTTTGTGGATCCTGAAGCACCTGGGAGTCTTTTGTTGTTGTTGTTCTTGTTTTTGTTTTGGGGGGTTTTATTTTGTTTTGTTTTGGTTTGGTTTGATTTTTGGCTTTTAGACACAGGGTTTCTCTGTGTAGTTTTGGGGCCTGTCCTGGATCTCACTCTGTAGACCAGGCTGGGCTTGAACTCACAGAAATTCACCTGGCTCTGCCTCCCAAGTGCTGGGATTAAAGGCGTGTGCCCCCACCACCCGGCAACACCTGGGACTTTTTTAATAGTATACTGAGATTGGACCTGGGGCCTTACCTGTGCTCAGCAAGCACTCAACAACACATCAGCCCAAGAATTTAAAAAAACTGAAAAGAGGAGGCATCTCCAGCATGAACTTGACATGAAAACCAAAGGGGATACAAGAAAGAAAGCCAGGGCTCAGGGCCTGGAGGGTCAAGGCAGGAGGATCATGACTTAGAGGCAAACTTGGGCTACAGAATGAGGTTGAGATCAACCTGAGCTACACAGTCAGAGTCTCTCTCTCTCTCTCTCTCTCTCTCTCTCTCTCTCTCTCTCTCTCTCTCTCTCTCTCGCTGTCTGTCTGTCTCTGTCTGTCTCTTTCACACACACACACACACAAACATAGCTACAAAAACCCCCAACTAAACAGTGAATTAAAACAAAATAGTGACTTAAAATTTAATTTAAATTTAACTTAAATTAAAATTACATGCAATATAATCTATGCATTTAAATTTTTATGGAAGGGCTAGCAAAATAACTCAGTGATGGAGCATTTGCCCAGCATGTATGACTCCCTAGGTTCCTTTCAAACCCTGCCATAAAACACAACAAAATCTGAAAATTCCCAACCAAACAAAAGCAGTCTTAAGGAACAAAGCCACATGTTAATGTCAGTCAAGGTGCAGAAATCATGTGATAACAGTCACAATTAACTTTTAGACAAATGGGAATAGAACAGAGCTTGGGCTTCAGCAAAAATGAGACACTCGAGAAAGGAGCTCTCTAGAGGAGGGCAGGGCTGGGGCAGGGGATCTGCAAGCGGAAAGCCTTGCCTTGTGTCACAATGTGTTGAGAATTCATAAAAGTTAATAACAGTTAAAAAAAGAAGAAAGAAAAGGTTTAAGGCTCTGAAGAGATGGCGCAGGATGACTCAGGGTTAAGGGTACTTGTTCCTGCAGAGGACCCAGAGGACCCAGGTTTGGTTCTCAGCACCCACTTGGCTCACAAGGCCTGTCATTAATGGTCCAGGGATCCAGGATCCTCTTCTGATCTCCACGGGCACTGCTTGCATATGCATCTAAATAAAATAAATCTTTGCAAGCGTGGACAAGCCCAAGTTAGCCAAGACATTTAATCTCCCTTACTACCTTGTGTAACAGATTCGGCCATGATTATCAGCAGGCTGTGTTGGGGAACTGGGGGCAGGGTCGGGGAGAGGAGCAGCAAGGTTTCATTGTTTTCCTACTGGAAAATATCTAAGACGATGTCAAATGCTTCATATTTGTTAACATATTTAACTATGTGAGCAATTTTATTCCATGTTAATTTAGTTTAAAGCTGAAGTAACAGAAACATTTAACTACTTTTCTGTTATTATAAGATTCCTTAATAAAATATTTTTTTATACTTTAGTATTGGGTAGGAACACATTCAAATAAATTTGCTGGATTTTTCTTAACCTGTATGTGAAAATTTGAGATTTACTGTTCTGAATTCAAATGATAATAAATGATTCTCAAATAGTGGTCATGATCATTTGGGATGTTTTTGTTTGTTTTCAGGATGCTGGGATAGAACCCAGGGCCTGGCACATGCTTACCCCATCCTCTACCTCTTGGCCATGTCTTAGTTCTGATTTGTTTGAATAGCAATAGTGACATGATCTCCCATTTTTATATTTCCATGGAGATCATTCAAACGCTTTTTCATTTAGTATAGTATAGACTTTGTACTATAATCAAATTCTTTTTCCACTTAAGAAGAGATTTGAGAGGATATAGTTTGATGCAAAATTAATGAATACAGGAAAACAAAGATGTGATCATGTACTCTGACAGCATTGTATAGACAGGAAAATACCCCCCGCCCCCAAAATCATCTAAGCTACTGAAAAGAGAGAAGAGCCTGTTGTGTGGCTCACACCTTTAACCCCAGACAGCACAGTAGGCTAAAGGAGGAGGATTGTCTTGACCTCAGAGTCAGTGTGTGCTATCTAATAAGTTCTTGGGCAGCCTGGGCTACAGAGTAGTGAGATCTTGTCTCAAAAACTCAAACCACAACTACAACAACAACAAAAAAATCTACCTTAAAAAGAGTGAGAATGGGGCTGGAGAGATGGCTCAGTAGTTAAGAACACTGACTGCTCTTCCAGAAGACCTGGGTTCAATTCCCAGCACCCACATGACAGCTCACAACTGTCTGTAACTCCACTCCCAGGGATCTGACAACCTCACACAGACATACATTCAAGCAAAACACCAATGCATATAAAATAAAATAAGTAAATTAAAAAAAGAAAAAGGAAAAAAAAAAAAGAAAAAAGAGTGAGAATGAGGAAATGAAAATCGGTAGAATGTAGCCTGACTTTGTATGAGCTCACGGAACCACACACCTCCACACAGCTTCCCCATACCCTTCTCTTCTGCTGGGCTATTATGTAGGAAGACCCCAGATCTGAATGTTTTGTGCCAAATTTTAAATACAAATATAAAACTCTGAACAAAACTAATCTAAAAAGATCCTATGGGCTGTAAATGTGGTAGAAAGTTAGTACTGGAATCTGTGTGAAGGTGGCCGCTTGCCCTTTTCCCCAGGGGAGCTGTATACAACGCCAGAAAGAAGTTCGAATTCAATACAGACCATCTCTGTTCCAGCATGTGGGTACCCACTCATCATTTCCCGGACGAAAACAGTACCTCAAGGTAAAATTCTGAAATGGAATTTTAGTAACATAGCCTTGATGAACCTAGAAACCTTTAGGAAAGAAGAAGTGGGGATTGTGATAATATGCCTGTCATTGAAAGTTTATGCATTTATATTGCTATAATTAACAAGGCAATTCCATGTAGTTTATCTGGCAATTAAAAGAGGTTTATTTCAGGGGTAACTAACAACCAATAAGAGGTCGATTACAGGATCCAGGAGAGATGAGGTACAGTCCAGCATAGTTCTCTGGGAAACTCTGACTTGGTCTGCAAATCCAGCCTCCAGGACCATTAGGAGCTAAGAGAGTGAACACATATGCATCTCGCGTCTTAAGGGGTCTCCTCTTGGCCACACCCCAGGGGCAGGTCATAGGCAGGTGTGGTAGTTGCTTGCTACCACACTAGGGGCAGTGTTTCAAGGTCAAAGCTATTTATCTTCCAAGAACCCAAGTCATCTACCATGGTAAAAAGAATTTGGTCTGCATAAATTTATTCTTATTAGCTGTGCAATCCAAATAAGACTTAAAAGGTGTTTTGAAAAAGAAAAACACAGCAGCTGTCACTATTTTGGTCTAAAATAAAAATTGTTAGCAAGAATATTTCAGAAATGGAAAGCCCTTATAAATATAATCAGTATGTTTATTTAAATAACTATTGACCAAATGAAAAAAATCAGCATTATGTCATGTTCAGTCATTCTCAAATTTCACATCAGTTTTGGAAAGAGTGTTACTGTTGCTGTGAAGGGTACCTGAGACAACCAACTTAACACAAGGGTAAGGTTTGTCTTGGTTCACAGTTCAAGTCGGGTCAGCCCAGGCCTGCTCAGCCCTTTTGTTTTGAGTCTGTGGTGCAAACATGTCATCAGGCAAACACAGGGCAGAGAAACTGAGCACAGAAAGAAGGGCCTCGGTCACAAGTACACACCTCCAGGAGCCAAAATCTTCCCTTTGGTTTCCATCTCTTAAAGCTTTCACCACTCTCCAGCTGCCAGAGCCTGGTGACCAAAACTCCATACGTATGCCTTTGGGGGTGTTACCCAAACCATAGTGGCATCTAGATGGTTAAGAGGAAACAGCTCAGGTTCCAAACGGCATGAGTTTGTCGTGGTGATGCAGAGTGGATCAGCAGTTAGGAGTAAGAACTGCTCTCCCAGGGGAGCCCCACATTCTGCTTCCTCCATCTCTAAAACCAAGAATTTAAATCATCCAGAAGACGTCTTCTTCCACTGAGAGCGTCGGCACCTCTGCCGTTTGTGTCTTCACACACCAAGGGAAGTAATTACATAGATTCTTTGTCAACTGAAGCGGCCATCATTCAGGCCTGCCCTTCTCTCTCTCCAACTGTCATTGTGAACTTCACGACACTCATTGTAGTGGACTCTGTCAGTGTTGGGCCCCAGCTGGCAGGAAATCTAAGGCTAAGATCAGACCAGACAAAGAAGGCCCTGGAACAGCAAAAATGATCTTCTGTGAGCCCATGTGCAACTGTAACAGCATCAAACACATAAAGGAGGCAGCAGGTACACAGAGAAAAGCTTCTCTGAGACCTCAGTCCAGGTGTGGTTATAACGGAATGCTTTTCTCATGTTATGTATCTTGCCCAGTAAAATAGTTTAATCTAGCTGAGCAATGGTGGCACACGCCTTTAATCCCAGCAGAGGCAGGTGAATCTCTTGAGTTCATCAACATCCTGGTCTACAGAGTGAGTTCTAGAACAGCCAGGGCTACACAGAGAAACCCTATCTTGGAAAAAGAAAGAAAGAAAGAAAGAAAGAAAGAAAGAAAGAAAGAAAGAAAGAAAGAAAGAAAGAAAGAAAGAAAGAAAGAAAGAAAGAAAGAAAGAAAGGAAGGAAGGAAGAGAAAGAAAGAAAGAAAGAAAGAAAGAAAGAAAGAAAGAAAGAAAGAAAGAAAGAAAGAAAGAAAGAAAGAAAGAAAGAAAAGAATATTTTAATCTAACCTTGTTAATTCATGATGGGTTAAAATGCATGAGAATATAATACCTTATATTTAGATATCATAATCTTGGTACTTTTCATCTTAACCTTCACAGCACATAAGACAGACATAAGTAACAATTTACCAAACGTGAGTATACTAAACTTTTTTTTTCTTTTACATTTCTAACAGGACCATTTTTACTAGGATTTTCCTAAATCTCACAACTTCTTTAAAAATTGTCAGACTCATTTTTGGGGAAAAGGGCACAACAAGAATCAGATTTTTTCAGATTATACTGGATAAGAGACTACATTATACTGTTTAATATTAAGCCTTCAGTAATAAAGTGAGTATACAAATTCAATCTGTCTGTACAGTTATCAGGTGGCTGTTCATCTCACATCATAGAAAAATCTTGCACTTCATACGGGTTCAAATTTGTTACTAGACTTCCCTTGATGTTCATTACTTAAGTGTTTCAAAAACACTTGTATGAAGTAAGTTCCCAAACCACATTATGTGTGACACTTACCATAAAACTTTAAAATGTACAATAGAACTACACCGTAGATTTATTAAGAAATTATTTCATCTCTGGTCACTAGCTTATAGCCAAAAAAAAACATTATCATATCCTTTTAATGATGAACCTTAGTTTTGAAATTTCACTAGACCTTCAACTTTAATAAATGTTCTATAATACATTTATAACAAAAACTTTCTTTTGTGTTAGTGAAATGGTAATCTCTTTAAATGACTACAAAATGCTCCAAAGGGAGTGTGCCTTTTGGTTGGCAGGCAAGTGAGAGCTTTACTATAACTTGTTAAGGTTGCGTTTGTGTGAAACCATTCTTGTTCTTGTGTAGTGTGCTGCACACGGCCACACTGCTCCACTGACTCTAAATTTCAGTTAAGCGATGATTTTATTGTTGTTTGAGACAAGGCCTCGCTACGTAACCCAGGCTTACCTCAAACTCCAATCCCTCTGTCTCCACCTCCAGAGTGCTGGGATTGCAGTGAGCATCATCATGAGCTGCTAGAAGTACTGACTTTACCTTTCAATTTTCTTTATGTTAACTTATGTGTATTGTGGGGGAAGAGAGGATATGTGCATGTGAGTGCGGGTGCCTGAGGACTCTCCAGAGCTGGCACTACAGGTGATTGGAATTGTGAGTCATATGATGTGGGTGCTGGGAATTGAACTCAGGTCCCCTGGGAGAGCAGTTCTTACTCTTAACTACTGAACCATCTCTCCAGACCAACAATAACTTTTTGTTTTGTTTTGTTTTGTTTTTTTGAGACAGGGTTTCTCTGTGTAGCTTTGCGTCTTTTTCCTGGAACTCACTTGGTAGCCCAGGCTGGCCTCAAACTCACAGAGATCCGCCTGGCTCTGCCTCCCGAGTGCTGGGATTAAAGGCGTGCGCCACCACCGCCCGGCCAACAATAACTTTTTTAAAGAGATGTACTGTGTGCATTGCTGTGTGCATTGTTGTGTGCATTGCTGCATGCATTGCTGTGCGCATTGCCACATGCATTGCTGCATGCATTGTTGTGTGCATTGCTGCATGCATTGCTGTGTGCATGGCTGTGACTGCTGCTGCGTGCATTGTTGTGTGCATTGCTGCATGCATTGCTGTGTGCATTGCTGTGACTGCTGCTGCGTGCATTGTTGTGTGCATTGCTGCATGCATTGCTGTGTGCATTGCTGTGACTGCTGCTGCGTCTGACAGGCAACAAGTAAGAAAAGGAAGGGATTTCCCATGAAAATGCATTAGCTGAATAATTATTTAAGGCTCATCCTTGACATTTTTTTTTTTTTTTTTTTTTTGAGCTGAGGACCAAACCCAGGGCCATGCGCCTGCTAGGCAAGCACTCTACCACTGAGTTAAATCCCCAACCCTGGTTTCTTTTTCTTCTGAGGGGCTTTTTAGTTAACATACAAAGTGATGGGTTTTATTATGGAATTTTCATGCATATTTTGTTGTCCCTGTTCCCCTCCCCATCTCCCCCAAACCTTGTGTGGTCCTGCTGTCTCCTCCCCATTCCTCCTGTCCCCTCTCTTGCTTTCATGTCACCTGCATCCATAATCTTCTTTTCTCTCTTCCCCATCACTCCTGCCCTCCTCATGGTCTCTTCAAAGTGACTTTCATGCGGCCTACAGTGTTTCTTTAGCTGCAATGATCTTTTATATACTCGCTTTCTCAGGAGCCCTACAGATGAAGTCTACATTTGGTAATTTAACAGTACAACCACGTTGATATTGGTGTTACCTACCAGTGCAAGTGATGAATTGATGAACCATAGCTTTTGTTGATGCTTCAAGGAGATGGCGTGATAATATTGAGGTGAACACAATAACTGAGTAATATCAGGAAATTACTGCAGAAATGGTTATATCTTTACTGATTAAAAAGTTCTTTCTGAATGTTACAGATTTCTTGTTTTTATTTCAGGAATATTGAAGATAATAAACATACAAGAAGAAACTTTATCATACCCAATCCTCTGACATGTTGGTTTCTAACGGTATCTTTCAGAAACAAGAAGTGTGGGGAGATAAATTACCTAGAAGAGGACAAATCAGTGAACATAGTACTTGAAGGCATTAAATGACTTCTTATGTCAAGACAAAAGTAGAGCTTTTGTCAGGGATATTTTTAGCCTAAAAAGTTGAATTTTAAAACAGTACAATTAGAGACATTACTAACATTTAAAAACTATATTTTATTGATGTAGACATCAAGGCCATTACACAGAAATATCTAACAGCTCAGAAGTGTGCTGCTGTCATGGACAGGCTCTGTGGGAACTGATCTGTGTGTTGTGATCATTTTGCCAAGATATCTAAAGAACTAGAAAGCATAGATCCAGCCTGGGCCTGTTTGTACCACCATGTCTTATAGCTGCCTTTTAATAAACACGTCTCAGCTATAAACCCACCCAAGCGCCATAGGAACCTATCATCAGATACCTTGGTATATGACATATTTTTGATAGTCATTCATTTCTAAAAATGTCACAGTTGGGTCCATGAGTCGTTTGGGAACAAGTTATCTTTCCATCTGTTCTTTATTGATTTCTGACTGCATTGCTGTTAGGATGAGTTTATCTGTGTGATAATATCTGAGGACTCTTGTGAATTCGAGTGCTCCGTAGCTTAGACAAGAATGTGTGGTCCATTAACGTGCCTTTTCAAATGTTGCATTCACTTGTTTCTGTGGATATTGATTTTATGATTTAAAAATGCTTTTTTAAAGTATTCTGAATTGTTGGATACAGAGTTCCCTGGTATTTAAGGTTTTTTTAGTCCAGTTTTTTTATAAGCATCTCTTAAGGCAGTTATTCAATAGTGAAATATTTCATTTACTTTATATATTTTAAACGATAAGAGATAATTCTTTTTTCTTATATTTTAGCCAAATGCTATGACTTAATTTTGTGTGTATATATTATACACAGGTATGTGTGCATGCTCTTGTGTGGGCAGATGTCCATAAATGTGCAGGTATACATGTTCTTGTGTGGACAGACACCCGTAAATGTACAGGTGTGCATGCTCATGTATGTGCATTTGTGTGGAGGTCAGAGGTCAACTTTGGGTGGCATTCCTCAGTAGTCATCTGCCTTGTTCTTTTGAAACAAGTCTCACCAGGACATGGGGTTCATCAGTTTAGTCAGGTGACTAGGCTTTCTCGCCAGTCCACACACATTTGACTCAGTATGACCTGTGGCACATGACCGTTTATAAGACTGCAGAAAGTGAACAGTTGCATCCATTTTCTCCTCTCCTGTGAAAAGAACAGCAGCACAGATGCCTTCCAAAGAGTTTAAACTTAACTGAAAATTTCACCTTTTGGAGTGCCTTAATTAAATATTTTACTTCATATTCATAAATGCATATGGTATGTTAGGATCCAAATTGTCTCCCCAGGCCTACGCTAAGCAAATGCAAAAAGTCAAACAAAGGTCCCTCCAGGTGCAGTTCTTCTCAAGAGGCAATATTCCTCAAACACTGCTTACTGTAAGCAAGTCATCCAAGCCAGGAGCAGAAGGACCGGGAGGTTAGGACCTTCTGCTGGTACAGGCACTGAAGGACTGACAGCACAACACAAGGCTGAAGGCAGATGCCCTGATACTCAAAGGGCCATTCGAACCACAGCTGGATCCTGGAACATGCAGGAGCTGGAAGGAAACAGAAAGGAAATAGAAAACAGACAAACAAACAAACAAACAAAAAACAGTTACCCTGTCCATAAAGAAATGATTTGCAGAGTTGGGGAGGCTGGCACACAGCATTTCTAGGAACTTTGTCTGATGTACTGAGTAGAGTGCCCATCTCTGCTGCTCCCAAATGCAGGGTGGCAGGGAGTCATGGACCTGGCTTACCACTCAGGATCTTAGACTCAAGGTGTATCAGGAGGAGACTCAAAGAATCTGGTGTCGATTTGGGGGCATAAAGAATTGCTTCACTGGTGGCTTGGGCATTTACTTTATAGCAATAACATTGAGTCTGTTGTTGAAATCACTTTTCTACAAGGCACATGCGTAGGCGCTGAGTACTGCAGCAGGTCTGTAGGAACCGGATTTTCCAGGTTTTTTGTTTGTTTGTTTGTTTTTTGTTTTTCAAGACAGGGTTTCTCTGTGTAGCTTTGCGCCTTTCCTGGAACTCACTCTGTAGCCCAGGCTGGCCTTGAACTCACAGAGATCGGCCTGCTTCTGCCTCCCGAGTGCTGGGATTAAAGGCGTGTGCCACCACCGCCCGGCCATGGATTTTCCAGGTTTTTAATGAACGTTCTTCCTTAAGCTCTGCAGACTGTGGGAGTATGAGTGCTGTTCTCTGTTGCCCAACCTTCTCTCAAGTATTGATATAAAAAGCCACCAACTGCACTCTTTGCTACTGACCATGTTAGTCTTTTCCATCCCTGCTGTGAGATGGTTGCTGCAAGTTGCAAAAATATATGAAGTAGGATGTCAGCTGATTATGACAAACTAAGACCTGGAAGAAGCCAAGGGCCTTCCAGAGGTCAAGCCGAGGCTCAAGGAGTCTTGGTGATACTGGCTTTTGATTATTAGCGATGTCCTGCTATGAATTTCTCGTGTGCTATTGTGACTTTTCCATCATTCTTTGGGCACTATTCCCCTCTACTAAAGGAATATTTAGGTAACCTTCTGAGCAGTAGCACAGCCAGGATCCCTAATTTAGGCCTTTCTGTAATTACTGTCATTAGCAGCATCCAGCCAGGACCATCCCCGGAGGGACGAAAGTATCTTATCAGAGATACCTCTGTACTCTCTAAGAACAGACTTAAGGATCTAGACTATCTGAGACTAGCTGGCCTGGCGGATGTGCTAATTAAGCTTAACTTTCTCCTTTCCAAAGTCTTATCTCTAGTTTTAGATCCACCCTTAACAATTAACTCAGAACTAAAGGGTTTCTACTTACAGGTACATTTAGCTGTGATGGAAGTTGCCTAGTCAAGTTGCCTAGTGACCGAGCACACTTCCCTTCACCCTGCCAAAAACTGTGGAAGCTGAGATAGCTTGGAGGATAAGGGATAAAGGGATAAAAGGCAGTTTCATTTTCAGAGCAAGGACTGGACAGAGAAAAGAGAATGGAAGAACTAGATGGGTAAGAACTGGAGAGGAATATACTAGATGGGGAAGAACTAGATTGAAGGGCTAGAAGAGAGGACTAGAGGAACAAGATGGAAGATGAGGAAGAGCCATATGGGGAAGAACAAGATGAGGAAGAACAAGATGAGGAAGAAGGAGATGGGAGAGGAGCTAAGATGGGAAAGAACTAGATGGATGAGAACCTAGATGAGGCAGAACTAAGATGAGATAATTAAGATAGAACTTAGAGGGAACAGCAGATAAATGTAGAGAGAAATCAGGCAAGAAAGGAGCTAGGTGTGAGAGCAGAACTGAAGCTGTGTAGGTAGGATTTTTATCCCGGAGGAATAAAGTAGATGGACTAAGAGAATGGTGTACATAGATTCTTTCCCTGAAAATAATTCTTGCTGTTCGTAGCCTCTCTTCTGGGCTCCTGGGAAGATTATTAAGGCTGGTCCTTAATAATATTTGAGAGATGGTCTTTTTGTATGCTGTGAATATGTGTTGCTACCATTGGTTAATAAAGAAGCTGCTTTGGCCTGTGGCAAGACAGGTTATAGCCAGGCAGGAAATCCAAGCAAAGAGACAGGGAGAAGAAAGGTGGAGTCAAGCGGACTCCACAAGCCAGCCAACCGCCCAAGGAGCAACATGCCAACAGACTGGTAATGCCAGGGCAAAGTGGCAAAGCATAGATGAATAGAAATGGGTTGATTTAAGGTGAAAGAGCTAGCTAGCAAGAAGCCTGAGCCACAGACCAGTTTGTAATTAATATCAAGCCTCTGATTGGTTATTCAGGAACAGGCGGGGGTGGGGGAGGGATTCGTTCATTTACACATCCTTGCCACAAATACCTAAGGCAATCAACTTACAATGTGGCTGCTGCAGCTCATAGCTGTGGAGCGTCTCATCATGGTTGTCTGGCACTGTTGCTTTGTGGGGGGCCCGTGGCAAGGTAGCGAATCACTGTGTGAGTGTATGCAGAGCAGCTCATCAGCACAGGGCCAGGGAGAAAGGGAGGAGGAGAAAGAGCCCCACTGTCTCCTTTACAGGCAGGTAGGTCCCCAGTGAGCTGAGGACTTCCCACTGGGTCCCAACTCCACCACCCTCCACACACCAAGCTTGGGTCCACGCTGGCGCTGGCAGAGGGCACAAAAGCCTCACACTCACAGAGAAGCACTAAGAGAACCTGGAACGTTAGTCATGGAGGGGTGTCTCCTCAATGAGGGAGATGAAATCAAATGCCTGCATTCCACCAGAGAGCTGAGAGAGGAGGCTGTTAATGACCTGGTGACATTTTTGCTGTCTGAAGGGACAGACCTAACTAACCCTAATTCCCCAGAATGATTATTCCAGACTCCTCCCTCTTAGTGCTTTTCTGTGAGTACAAGACACTCGTGCCCTCTACATCTCACCAATTCTAAGTTTTTAAAGAAAAATTAGTGGCCATGATCGAGGGCATGGCAGAATGCATTGTCTCCATGGCTTGTCTAATTAATATAGGCAATCATAAGAGAATTATAAGACAAATCCACCAAAATGAGATATCCCGAGAGAGAGAGAGTAAGATAGCTTGGGGAGACTTTGGGGAAACGACAGTTAACCCCAAAATGATTCTGTCACATTTAATGACTGTGTTGCATGTTCATTTTTGTCCATGCAGAATCCAAATGCCTTTTGTCACAGGGGATAAAGGACACACCTGTTATAGGAGACACATGATAATACTGTTTTGTCATGCTAGTGATTGTTTATAAAGGTTTATATGGAGTCGGCCATATCACACCCATTTGCTCACAGCAGAAGTATTAGCAGGAATTAAGAGATGGGTGAATGGAGAGTGGCTTTCCCCTTTCCTTGGTCCTCTGTTAGCTATTATAATTCTCTCTCTCTCTCTCTTTTTAATTTTGAAGACTTATTTATTTATTATTTATATAGTGTTCTGCCTGCACACCAGAAGAGAGCACCAGATCTCATTACAGATGGTTGTGAGCCACCATGTGGTTGCTGGGAATTGAACTCAGGACCTCTGGAAGAGCAGCCAGTGCTCTTAACCTCTGAGCCATCTCTCTAGCCCCATTATAATTCTCTTATGCTTGCCTATTTTATTCAACACCTGGAAATGGAATGATTATGGGAATTATTGTTGCCTGGAGACCCTTTTCCAAATTCTAGTGTGTTCAAATATGCCTACTATGAACTGTCTGGCATTAGAAGCCCAAAATCTGATCCAGGTTGATGAAGTCAATCTGCACCGGGTTTTCATTCTCATCTCTGTGTGTGGTTTGCTTCCCTGTATGACACCTGCAGGGATCCCCTCACACACCTGCAACACATGGACCTTTAGGGGAACATTCCAGATTTAAGCTTTAGCAGAGTCTGAAGTACCTAGCAATGTAGTAATATTTACATATTAATAGTTATGATAAACATCTCTTCATTCTTGGGTAGAGGAGATGAAGACATGGGCTGTTAATATTGGCGTGGAAAACTGTCATGAGGTTGTGTACTTAAACACCTCCCACTGTGAAAGAACTGTGAAAAGTGTGAACAGATGATGGGTGTTCAAGTCTGGCCAGCTGTTTCTCCTGAGAACATGATTTTTGTTTTTCAAATATTTTAGAAATACCATTGGCATCCATTTACAGATGCTTTGTGGATTTTAGTAGACACTTTTAGCTTTGTGGATTTTAGTAGACACTTCTACCATTTAATGATGAAGCCTTTTGTATTCGTTGTTTTATTTTGGTGATGTTAGATTTTTGTCTATAAGCCCAGATGAAATGTGTAATTTTTTTTTAAAAAAGATACAGTTCAAAATGGATGCCAGACATATAGCTTAAACCAGACAGTTTTCATAGAAAACCAGAAAAAGCTGAGGGGAAGTAAAATTCACAAAGCACTACCAACCCCAGGTGATCACATGTTTATATAAGGGAATTCAACTCAATATATATTTCTTGGCACTGGGTATTGAACCCAGGGCTCTCCACAATGAAGGCAAAGTTTCAAAACCCCAAATAGCTATAGTCCACTATTTCTAAATTGTTTCAGATCAAAGCAAATTTCCACATTCTTTAACGGTGTAAATGTAATAATACTTAATCTGGATAATGATCACAGGCACACACTACATAACAACAAATGCTAACTGGTCCAAAATTTCTCAGTGCAGTATTAGCTGTCCATATACACCAAACCACGGCCTGTTCTGGTATTTAATCCAGGGTGTATGAACCTTAGGGGCCTGTTAGGAAACTTGTTATTACATTGAATAAGCAAGTTTTTAAAAGATCATTTTATTACTTTCACAGAAGCTGGAAAGATATTTGAAAAAATTCAACATGTCTTCCATACACACACGAAAGAGGCTGGAGATGGAGCTTTGGGGCAGAGCCTCAGAGGAAGTCCATGACCCTGCAGGAAAAAAAAAAAAAAATGTGATGTTGCAGGGCTTGGGTGCATGGGTACCTCTTTGGCATATACTTCCTCTCCTACACTGCTTGTGAGAATACAGGACAACTGGACTGACAGAACAGACTTAGTACTGTATGAGACAACCACATAGTGCTTAAACAGTTATGAGACCCTGTTAACCGGCTGCTCAAAAGGCTCAGATTAAAGACGGTCCATGTTCAACAGTGGAGGAGCAACAAGAACTCTTGCACTTTGCTGGTGGGAACTTAGGATGGCACAGCCACATTGTAACAAGTAGCTAAGCACCTTCCTAAGCAGACCCTCCAGCATCTCACCCACTCTGCTGCTGGTCGCTGCTGAAGAGGAGACTTGTCCTCTTTATTCACAGTAGCTCTGAATTGGAAGCTTTCCAAACATCCATTAAAAAGGAGATCTGTAAACAGTTGTAAGTCAGTACAGTGGGAAGCCATGCAGCAGTGAGGAGGAGCAAACACTGGATCCAGACACACAGATGAGTCTCAGCACGCTGGCTGGAGGGAGCCAGAAAAAGAAGTGCTGGTTAAGCTCCATTTCTATCAGATTCCACAATAAGTCTGTGGTTGCTAGGGATGGGGTCAAGAAAGCTTTTGGGAGTGACATGTTCCTTATTTATTGTGTTCCTAGGGTGTTTGCATATCCCCAAAGTCAGCAAATTGTATACAAAACATATTCCAAAGAACCAATTAAGAAAGGATAGGCTCATGTCCAAAGACTACCAGAACTGACTTGAAGACACCTCCTTCAGTTAACCTAGGGCACTTTGGGTACTGCAGTAACTGAGCATGTGACTGGATAAAACAGACTCTACGAGCCGGGCGGTGGTGGCGCACGCCTTTTAATCCCAGCACTCGGGAGGCAGAGCCAGGTGGATCTCTGTGAGTTCGAGGCCAGCCTGGTCTCCAGAGTGAGATCCAGGAAAAGGCGCAAAGCTACACAGAGAAACCCTGTCTCGAAAAACCAAAAAAAAAAAAAAAAAAAAAAAAAAAAAAAAAAAACAGACTCTACGAACCTATGCTTAGACAGGATAGGTTCATGAGTGAAGATGTATTTATGTTTATTTATATTTGTGTCTAATAATGAAAATGTGTTAAGTTACTGTAATGAAACCACAGTAAAATTGATTCAAGCAAAGATGATTGACACATCCTAAATCAAGGGGACAGACTGAGCATAGATGGACAGAAAACAAGACATTTACACAGATTCAAAGTTTGGTCACACACAGAATTGGAAGCATACAGAAGGAAAAAAAGTAAGTAACACCTTCAAGCAGTGTTCAAGATTAATAAAGCAATTATGTGTCTCTGTAAAATTTTTAATAATATTGGTAGAATGAAAAATATACAGTTTCATTTATAATGTTAGCATTTAAGATGTCACAACACATGAAACAGGAAGCTTCCTGACTGGTAATCATGGGCACTAAGCTGTTAAAATACAGAAATATAGAAAAAAATATCTACAATATGAAATTTGGCATGCCTATCCTGACAATCCTCTAAAACCGTGACTAAGATAAAATTCAGGGGACAAGGGATGTGGCGCCGCTGATAGAGCTCGTTTAGTGCACACCAACAGGGCTTCGATCCCAAGTGCTGCATTAACAGAACAGTGGTCCGAAGGTCAGAAAGTAGAGAAAAGAGGATCAAAAACTGTTGGCTACACACCCGTCACAGAACAAAACAACCACAAAGAAAAAAGAAAAACTAAACTAAATTAGATCCGTCCGTCCATCCATCCAGGAGCCAATTAAGACGCGACACGTAGAAACGAGCAGTCTGCAGAGCGGGCAGCTTGAGCTCCAGAGAGGAGCTGACGTTGGAATCACCGCATCCCCAGGGTCGCCGCGCGGCCGCTGGGTCCCGAGCGGCGGTTGAGCCGGCGGCTCGCGCACCGGGGCGGCTACAGCATCCTCCGGCGCGGCCGCTCGCGCATGCGCAGTTAGCAGTCGCTGCTGGGCGGCTGCCGGCGGGATCGGTCTGGGGAGACGCAGGGGACCGAGTAGCAGCCAGTCGGACACCTGAGCTGCCGCTGCCGGACACAAACCCGCAGGACAGGTGTGTGGACCGCGGGGCCGGGGTGAGGAATCCGGTCCGGATGCCCGGGCTGCACCCGATTCTGAGTCCAGAAGGTTCAGCTGGGTGCGGCCAGGTGAGGCTGGAGGTTGAGTTCAAGGATGGAGGTGCAGCAGCTAGACGCTTGCGGGTGGGCTCTGCCAGCCTCGGGTACAGAGATCAGCCCTGGGTGGAGGGAGACGCCACTTCAGAGTCCTCCACCTGCTGCGCTGGCGCTGGGGAAGGCCGGGTGCCCTGCTCAGCCTGGAGCCCCTGGAGTCCGTTATCCCAGCGGTTGCCATTGTGGCCCCCTTCCACGGAGCCCTGGCCACGCTCCCAGGGGAGTTCTTCGCATCTTTCTAGAAAACGTAAACAAAACCAACTTGGGCTCCTCATAAGCAGCCCACCTCTGTGCAATCCACCTCTGCGAAGCCAAAAGGACCCCACCACCACCCGGTGAAGGTGGCCGGAGAGTCCTGGCCACTCCCTAGATACTTGGGTGGAGCCTAGCGGGCGCCACTGGGGAGGGAAACGAAGTGTGTTGAGTTCAGCTAAACCTTAATGACTAGAGACTCATTATCTAAAGCCTGTTTACTATCAATCAGATACTTTAGCTGAACTTAAGTGGCATCTGCCCCACCCAGGAAAAAGAGGCTCTGCAGGCGTTCGTTCAGGGTTAACAGATAAATGGCTAGGAAGTTGGGAACTGGAGACGGAAGGCACAGAAACGAACAAATAAGGCAAAACAATACGGTCAATTTGGAACATGATTAATTTGTGTTGAAACTTTTTGATGCATGAAATAGTAAACCGTGCATTTTTGGTTTGCTTACTTGCTTGCTTGCCCTGACATTTTTACATCTCTCTAGATAGCCCTGTTTTTGGTAATTCTAATTTTGACGACGTTATAGTCCACATTTTGTTGGTGTGGTCATCCAGTCACATTGACCTTGTCCCTCAAACTCTTCGAACAAGATAGTCTTCTTTTGTCCTGTTTTTCTGGTCGGTCGGGATGGTTTACATATGTAAATGGTGGCATGTGTTGATGGATATGCACTGGTGGGTGCTGTAAATTAGCTTCAGGGTTTGTTTTGGTGTCTAATAAATTTTCCTTCTTAATTCTGTAATTAGAAAATTGGAACCGTCAGCATTGATGGGACTTTAGCTCATGCCACTCAACTCTCTCACTTCATGGGTGAGAAGAGGCCCAGAGCACATGCCCAGTTCTGTTGCCCTCTGGACAACAGCGCTAGCCACTTAGAAGGCAGCAAGGTCAGGAAGCTTTCGACCTCTGTCATTCTGTAGTTAGACTTCTGAAGCCACGGGAAAGAGTCACAGTCTCCAACGAGCACTCCTGAGGTACGTCAATGACATCTGATGCCTCAGTCCGCCTTAGACCTGAACACACGCAAAAATCCTCAGTTATAAGAGGAGCTATTTACAGGAGTGTACGTGTGTTAAAAAGGAAAGTACTGGGGCTGGAGGGCTTTCTCAGAGGTTAAGAACACACACTGCTCTTGCACAGGCTCTGGATTCAGTTCCCAGCACCCACATCAGATACAACCACCTGTAACTCCAGTTCCAGGGCGTCAATGCCCTTTTCTGGCCTCCTCTGGCACCCACCCACACACGTGTACATAACCCTACAGGAGAAACACACATATACATAATTAAAGTCTTAAAAAATATGTAAGGCAAATACCCAGAATAAAAGAATGAGTCTTGAAAGAAGCAATCCATAAGAACTACTGAAAATATTTTAAGTAGAGTCCAAGTTAAGAATTGTTGTTAGAAAACATCAGGCTTGCAAGAAGGCAGGGGTTGGTTATGAAGGTTAACCAGAGTGTAAATGACACAGTGACAATTAGTGATATCTGTCAGGAGGTCATGTCCCTAATGAAGGCTGAGGGGTGAAAATGTGTTCATTCCACAAATGCCCTAATGAGACTAGTTACCAGAGACCCCAGGGGACGCGGAGCGCTACCTCGCCCTGCTTTGTTTTCCGTGGGACCCAAGGCCTTGGGCATGCCAGGCTAGTGCTGTGCAGGGAGCTCGCTCCCAGCCAAGTCCACCCGAGGGGATGGTAATAGAAAGGGGAAATAATCCAGGCACAGTGGCGCACATCTCTCCTCCCAGCACTTGGGAGGCAGAGGTAGGTGGGTCTCTGTGATTTTGAGGGCAGTTTCGTCTACATAGTAAGTTCCAGGACGTCAAGGACTAAACAGAGATCCTGTCTCAAAAATCAAACTAAAAAGTACATTTATTTATTTATTTATTTATGGGTGGGGTGGTCGAACACGTGTGGAGGTCAGAGCCTTTGGAAATCAGTTCTCTTTGATGTGGGTCCTAGGGATTAAGCTAGTTCCTCAGGCCATCTTAATGGGCACAATGTTTCAATTCAGAGGAAAGAGCAAGTTCAAATTAATGAAGGTGTTGGGTCATCTTTGAGACTGATTAATTCTTCAAAACTGAAGAGTGACCTCTGATCTGTAGGGTTTGGGAATACTCAGATAGCTTTCATAGGAAGAAGCAAAAAGTATCTATAGAAAGATAACAGGGTGTGGTGGTGTGCACTTGCAATCCCAGGGGTGTGGAGACAGAAACAGCCCCTGGATCCCTGGGCACGGCCATTGTGGAAAACACTGTGGAGGCTTCTCAGAAATTAAAAACAGAATCGTCGTATGATCAAGTGATCAGGTATATGTCCTCTTTATTAATTCTCTTGTTGCTGAGACATAACACTGGGTAAAAGCAACTTAAGGGGAGAAGGCTTCTTCTGGCTTACAGTCTGAGGGGGCACAGTCCATGTGACCAGGAAGGCATGACAACGGGAAGAGGAATCTGCAGTCAGGAAGCAGAGAGAGATGAACACTGGGGCTCAGCTTCAGTTCAGGACTCCAGCCCAGGGGTTGGTGCTGCCTTCATTAAGAAAGAGTCTTCATACCTGGACTAACACAAATTACAAACCCCTATGAACAGGCCTGCCCAGAAGACTTTGTCCAGGTGATTCTAGATTCTGTCAAGTTGACAATATTAACCATCCAGGAACTTAAACTGAAAATTTATTTTGAAAGAGAAAACATGGTTCTAAGGTGATATTGATATTCTTTTAAATTTTTTACATTAATTTATTTACTCTGCAAGTGTGTGTGTATGTTGTCTATGTCCAAAAGATGGCAGTACCTGAATATAGAAAGCTCCCATCAAGGTAGATTTCTACTTAGTGGTTTTGAAAATGTACATTTTCAAAGTAAACACGAGAGTGGTAGCCAGCAACCTTTAGAAGAAATCAAAGTCTCTGGCCCAGACATTCATCTAAAATTTTGATTTAAAAAGGGGTTGTATCAGTTGAACTAGTTTGATAGAATAATGCTTTTTTGTGATGTTTTATAAACCGCTTTAATGATATATAATTTGGGTACTATCAAGTTCAACTGCTTAATATGTGTAGTTATATTTATAGAGTTGGGTAACTGTTACCAAATTCCAACATTGGACATTTCATCCCCCTACATGCCCACAGCTGTCCCCCAGTCCTGATCTAGCTGATGTCTCACATAGTCTCCAGTTCTTGTTTTCTCGGGGTTCTTCTTTCTCTAAAGAGAAATGGTACATTTATGATTTTCCCATGGCTTTTCCCTGGGCTCAGTAGTCTTGAGTTCATGCAGTCTTGTATGGGTGTTCTCTCTTTTGCTGTTGCTGGGTGCTTTCCCATGGTATGAGTGCTTCAACTTATGCCTGTACACTCTTGAATTGAAGGGCATTTGAATTGGTCCACATTTGAGTTGATACAAGAACTGCATTTCATGGCTTGTGTCTAAGATTTTGTGAGGATATAAGTTTGGGTTTTATGTTGGCTATCCTTGAGTGGAATCACTGGGGCATGTTGAAACCTGCCACACTATTTCCCACCTCTGTTGGTATGGTACCTTGACACACCTCAGCAATGGGTGAGAGTTCCGGTTTCTCCAATCTCTGTGATTATCAATTGTCATTTTTGATCATAGCAATTCTGGTGACTGTAGTGCCATCTTTCTTAAGTAGGCCCAGAAATGTCCATAGCTATCTATGGTCTGAAAAGCTTTAGAGTTCTAAGAATCTACTTTAAAAATGTCCCCATGTTGATGTTAGCTCTTGGGGAAAGAATAGCATACATGATGATTATGTGTTATTGTATGACTGCTTTTGAATCAGTGACACTGAACTATTTCAGTGCCCAACAGTACTCGAAAGTCTGTTAGCACCAAGGGAGAGATCTTGAATTAGTATATACTAATGACAGTGGGTGAGAACATAATTACATAAATCCAGCACTTCTGCTAAGAGGACGACAGGTTGCATTTGGCATTTCTTCTAACACAAGGAACAGCAGTTATGCAGTGTTTGAAGGCACATGTGGTCAGATAACTATGTGATGATCATGGAATTATAGGAACAATGAGTTCAAAAGAACATGGTCCCCAGCAGACAGCTTTCTACAACGTGGGGTTTGATTTTGGCAAAACACTATTATGTTAAATGTATGATTAAAAATGCTTGGTTTTTGGTGTTTAGATGTAAGTGGACTCTAGCCTTATAATTATAAAATGTCTAATTTTGCATATACTTAAGCTACATTATTTGAAATAATATAAGTGAAAATTTAGGGATCATGATAGCTTTTTTTCTTTTCAATGAATTAACATATTATTTGCATCTGATAGACGATGTTGCTGATATCTTTATATTTTTTATACCATTAGCTCTTTGGTTCTGGAAGACTTAGAACTGCAAATGTGAAGTTGGTGTTTTACTTGTTCAAGGCTTAATTTAAATAATGTTACTGGTGATAAAACCATCCCAGAATAAAGGAGAAATTATTTCTTCCAGTGGTTCTTACCACGCCGCATCTGTGCCTGACTTTTCGCTGGCTGCTTTAATTTTACAGATGGTCAATATGCGTTTCCAAGGTGTTGGACTATGCTTGAGTCTTCTGTTCATCACTGTCAATGCAGAATTTATGAATGATGGTGTTGAAGTGGAAGACTTCAATGAAAATTCAGAAGAGAGTAATATTAAAGAAGATGAAACTTCCTCAGGGGTAAGACAGCTGCAAGAGAAATGTTATGTTATTCTTCCCATGGTCATAGGAGTGACCGATCCCTTCTGACAGGGCTAGTCTTCTCGGTGCATGGGAAAATGTAGCTTTTCCCACTGTGTTCCTTAGCATCCTACAGCTGATTGATGACACCTCTGCCAGTTGTGCTCAATGAGTATGTGGGAAGTTTCCACTACCAAGGCAAGAGTTCGCTGGTTAAAGAGGATCAAGTTCTTTAGCAAAGACAAATGCCTTTAGTTCTAGTTCTGATGATATCAGACTTTGCCAGACAAAATGGAAGGCACCATAACTTGTGGTTCTTCAAGAAGTAAAGGAAGTGGCTTTTGTTTATTTCTCTGTGTGTAGAAAATGCACACGAGGAGGGTGGGTTTGAAAGGGAAGGAGTGTCCTAGGCAAACACCCTATTAGAGGGGTCTTTAAAAGTTCACACTTTAAAAAATTGGCACGCATGCTCACCACTCAAGTACATTTGTGAGATGACAAGTGGGGGAAAACACTTAAAATTTTATCACCAGACATCAGTTGTGCAAAATGACAGGTTTCATTATGACATTACTAAGAGGTGAGTTTTACAACCAGAGCCCATGCCGCCTGGAATCTCTACTGCCCATGCACACTGCGTACTAGGTTCTGAACTATCAGGATGACTTCAGATATTTGCAAAAATGAATAACTTTGGCTTTAAAAAAATCTCTTTTCTAGACTATTAAATATAAGACACCTCAGCCTATAGGAGAAGTGTATTTTACAGAAACATTTGACAGTGGAAAGCTGGCTGGGTGAGTGCTCCTGAAAGATAGCATTTTCTTCCATTTGATGGGTTTTCTGAAGCTATTGGTCTATGAGAATCAGCTCTCCTGTGACTTTGTGGAATAATTTAAAGCTATGTGTTTATACAAAGAGAGACACAAATTAGGAATGCAGAGAATACACAGAGCATTTCCTTGTTCTCTAGGGCAGATGTTAACAGTGGAGATTCACAAGACAACTCTGAGTTACTGTTGCAGCCACAGCGATGGCATGCCTATCTGTAACGGTTCACTACTGACTAGTGTGCTCCAGAGTCTCTGCTAGCAGATATGTAGTCCATCCCAACTCCCACCGAGAAACTGAGGCCTGGTATGCAAGCTTACTCCCGCACCGATACTGAGAAACTGAGGCCTGGTGTGCAAGCTTACTCCCGCACCGATACTGAAGAGCAGATGTCAAGCCTCCTGGAATTGTTCAAAGGCTAGATTAACTTATTAACTTCTTGGCACTAATTTATTTTGAATGAAAACTGATTATGTTAGGTAACCTCTTGTATTTTTACATTCGTTTTATCTATAAGTTGCATATCTTATTTTAATGGCAAATATCTGTCTTCACCTTTATTTACAGGTGGGTCTTATCAAAAGCAAAGAAGGATGATATGGATTCAGAAATTTCCATATATGATGGTAAAATACTTACTTAAATATTAGATAACAATAACCCATGTTCACTAGCCTTTGAGATTGTATTTTTGTTAAATTATGTTGGCCAGAAGTGCCAACCAGACCTCACAATGAAATGTTCAGTTTTTCACCCTGTTCCTTTTCAGTGTTTCAGGGACTGCCGGATTGAACCAGTTTTCTGACTCTTAAACCATAGTTGGATTTTGACCCCAGGGGTTTAGCTTGCACTGTGCTGTTCTGGATGTTTCCCTCAAGCCTGGGCACTCATAGATCAAGAGCAGAGGTGTCTTAATGAGCACTCTAAGATCATGGCCACCACTGCAGCCCACAGCTTCAGGCCATGCCCATCATCCACAGGATCCCTGATGGCGCTGTCTTCAGGGTGGCTGTGGAAGTGTCTTTCAGGGGGTCATATTCTCTTCCCTAGAAAGACCACCTTGGAGAATGACAAAAGAATGCCCCCCTCCTGCTCTAAAAGCAGTCTCCTCAAGCATCCTATATCCTCTGCTGCAGGGGACCAGCAGGGGAATTCCCCTGTCTGGGAGGTCCTTACACCCTTAAGCACATGGCCTAGAACTCAGACTCAGCAGGCGGTCCCATCAGAGCATGTGCTAGACTTCAGCTGTCAGTTTCCCTCCCACAGCTTCTGAGTTGTGTAAGAGAAAGACATGCCTGCCTGCCTGCCTTCCTCTACACAAAATGTTCGCCATCCCAGCAAATCGCTCCTGCCACCATGTCTGTGAAATCTCGTGAGCACATGTGTGGACCAAGCTAAAACCATTGACGGAATTCTTCCCCTCAAAGAAACAATGGGTCCAGGGGATACACTGCTAAAATTGATCCAAATAAACCCAGTATCACTACATACCAGAATGCTTGATTTAAGCAACTGTGTTTTTTTAAAGAAAAACTAAGTAAAATGTTCACTCTAGAAAAATGTAAGACAGAAGTGTGCTTTAGGGAAACCCGCATTTATTTTATTTTTAAGATGGGTCTTGCTATGTGACCCAGGTTGCCCTCACACATGCGATCCTCCTGCCTGAGCTATCTGAGTGGTGATGTGATTACAGGCACATACAACAATGTGTTGCTCTTGAAAATCCTTGAGATTCCTTTTAAAATCCCAATAGTGTATACAAAGTGACAGACTAAAACTCAAGCTGATTTGATCTTAAGACTTGTGGTAGTGGTATTGTTCTTTAGAAAAAAAAAAGTAGTCTAGAGCATTAGTGATTTAAATGTGCCCATAAAAATAATTGTGAGTTCAAACATTATAACAAAATAACCATCTTTTGCTGAATTGAGCTTAGTTGGAACAGACAAACATATATAATTTTCAAACATATAATTTTGAAATTAACATAAGTTGATTTTGTTTTTTCCTATTTTAACGGAGCAGAAGAGTGATGTCCAACACAGAACTTCGGGGCTACAGTTAGCCCGCCTGGCTCACAGCCACGCAGTTTAATCGGAGAAGAGTTTGTGTGCTGAGATAGTTTTCAAATGCAACTCCAGTACCTACAGCAACTGCTGTGCAGACTGCTCACTTCCAGTTAACGATGCACTTTGTCTCGTATACATTTTTAAATATCTCATTTTATTTGTTTTTTTTTTTAAATTTCATTTTATTCTAAGTATCCAGACAAGGCAAACTTTTCTCTTGATCAAGAAGATGTACCTGAGAGAAGGAACTCACAGACAGGAAGGGCACTTGCTTTTATAGCTCATTTTTTAAAGTCAGCATTCATAGACCTTATAAGATAAAGCCTATTTATCATTTGTTTCATTGAGAGTAGATCAAGAAGTTCTAAGCATTCGTTTAGAAGTGTACCTGCCATGTTATTTGTTAGTCTTCTGAGTTTGGACTAAGGAAATGAAACCAGTTTCTGACAAATGGCAAGAAGAGGAGGAGAGAGGAAAGAAAGGAAGAGAAAGGACGTGGAGATGGGGGAGGGGAAGATGAAAAGGAAGAATGAGGCGGGGAGGAAGGAGAAGGGGAGGAAGGAGAGGGAGGGGGAGGAGGGGAGATACAAGCTGCAGATATTATTTCCTGATGTGCTGTTTGGTTTTATTTTTCCATAATCAGTTTTCACGGGAAAGATGACTGCTAACAGCTGCTGAGATGTGGCTTCCTGTCTGTCTTCTGTTTCAGCTCACTGCTTTGCTTTCTCTTTTAGGAAGATGGGAAATAGAAGAGCTGAAGGAAGACCAGGTACCCGGCGACCGAGGACTGGTTCTGAAGTCTAAAGCCAAGCACCACGCAATATCTGCCGTCCTCTCAAAACCTTTTGTTTTCTCTGATAAACCTTTGGTAGTTCAGTAAGTTTTAAGACTTTTTAATTTGTATTAGTTTGGTGTAATTTGGCATCTGAATGTATGTTAGGTCTTGGTGCTGTATATAACAAAAAAAATTCCCACATTTCCCTTTCAAGGTTCATATACAGATGTCCATATACATAACCACACCCTGGGCTTTGGGGGGGCAAACAGTTTAGTGATAAACTACACATCACATGTCTTGTATGCACAATTCTGTCACCATAAAGGATGGTACACTGAAGCCACCACTTTTATCTTAGTTTTTCTAGTTCCTTGCTGATAACACAGTCACCTCAGGACACAGAACAGGACCATAAGCCTGGCCAGTTTATGGTCCTGTTCATACCGAGCCACTCAAGGTAGCAGATTAATTCTAATAGGAAACTGTCCGCAGGTCAGTGTCTTTCGAGCGTGGAGCTCTTTTGAAAGCCCCATGCTGAAGAGACTTTCTCTTCCCCCTGCACTGACATCAGCGGTGTGGTCTGCATGCGCACTGTGGAGGCCTGAGAGTGATGCTGGGATCATCCTTGATGCAATCCTACCCTGTTCACTGAGACAGAGTCTCTCAATCTGCAACATGTCTCCTTAGCCAGCTTGCGCCGTGAATCCCCTGCCTCCACCTTCTGAGGCTGGAATTACAGGCTGGCCTCCATGTTCACCCAGCATTTTACATGGGTTCCAGGGATCTGAACTCTGTCCTAATGCTTGGGTGTCAGGTGCTTTAACTACTGAGCCATCTCCCCAGCCCTTTCTTGAGACTTTAAGGTAGCCTCACTATCATTCTCTTAGAAGTTAGATGTATAGAGCATCACTCTATGAATGTACTATTCATTTGAAAAGGGTTGTACAGGAAACAGATACAAAATTCAAGTTGTCAGGGATAAAATGAATGGAGTGTTTTCTGTGCCAATCACTGACAGGAAAATGATCCCTTGCCAGATAGGAAGCAAACAGAAAAACACATCTAAAAATTTCCCAATAACTGTGAAATGATTGTATTGAAAAAAATAAAGAGGATCAAGAACTGAACAGCAGTCAGATGGGCTGAAATGAAAACATTGTGTGTTAAGTGCTATGGTTGGCACATGGATCCGCTGACTTTTGGTTCCTTTTCCAGTGTGTGCACATGTCAGCACATGTCGAGCGCACCTAGTCTGAGATCTGAAATGCTTTGAAATTTGAAACATTTTTCCAACCTTTGTGATCACTTCTTCATATAATAGCAGTTTTGTACTATTGTTTTTGCTCAATATTTGTTCAAATCTTAATTTTACACATGCTATCTGTGTGGTGTTTGATATTTTAATAGATATGTTACGGTCAGTATGTAATGGAAATTCACATTTCTGTCTCTTTAAACACTCATCACCTCTTTGTGTTGAGACCCTCCCTTCTGGCTCTTTCTAGAACATAAATTATTGTAGTCACCTGCTGCTGCAGAGGGCACCAGAACTTCTTCCTGAGTGTATGTTGGTCCCTGATCTTTAGCTTCCTTTTTTCCTTCTTCTCTCTTTCAGTTCGAAACCGCTAATGACTCCTTTTCACTCCTATAAAATCAATGTTTTACCTCCAAAAGGAGTGAGACCATGTAGTGAATGTCTTGAGATTTTTGTTGGAATTATTTTACTTAATGTGATGCTCCATGGTCCCAGCCATGTCTCTGTGAATAAAAGTTTAATCTTTTTAAGTGGCTGAGCAGTATCCTATTGGGCATATGGACCACCTTTCCCTTACCCACCATCAGTGGTCACTTCAGTTAATCCTGCATCATGGCAATCGATAATAATGCTAAGTAAATGTTGCAAGTGCGGGCATCTCACGGACTGATTACACTTCCTGTGGCTATGTTCCCTGTCCTGGGAGAGCTGATAAATGGCTCAGAGTGTAGTTCTGGTTTTCATTTGAGAAATCTCGTGCCGTTTCTCGTAGCGGCTGTATTAATTCATAGTCCCACCATCAATGTATAAGAATTACCCTTTTTGACATCCTAAGCAGTTTTGCATGTTTATTTGTTCTGGGGTGATTTTTTTAGTTTTTGTGTGTTTGTTTTGTTTTGTTTTTTCTTCATTAAAGCAGTTCCACCTGAGTAAGGTTTGGTTTGTATTTTCCTGATTCACGACAGTACATGTCTTTTAGTATGCTTTTGCTCATATGTTTCTTCTTTTGAGAAATGTCTTATAAGCCTATTGCGTCTCTTGGTTTTTGAGACAGGGTTTCTCTGTGTCGTCCTGGCTGTCCTAGAACTCACTCTACACCAGGCTGGCCTGGAACTCAGAGATCCATCTGCCTCTCTGCCTCCCCAGTGCTGGGCTTAAAGGCATGGCTTAGGTGGGCGAGGCTTGTGAGGTCACTCTGTCAGCTTGGACACAGCTCTTTCAGGTAGAGTGTGTTTGGCAGGGCCTGCAGCTACAGGTACCTTCCACGGGTGTTTCTCGTGGGCGTGGAGATGCTGCAGTGGGTCCAGAGTGGCATGGTGTAGCATTCCCAGCAGTGATTTCTGGGGGCTTAGCATGGATCGTGCTTGGGTAGCTGGCAGTCATATACAGTCCCTAGTCTAGAGGGCCTGGGAGGATGTAGTGGGACATTCTTGGCTATGCTGCAGGATGCTCAGCAGTGTCTAGACTTGCCCATCACCTCACCCGCCTAAAGAACCCGAGACTGTCAAGTTGTGTTTTAAGTAAAACTTAGGCTTTAGGGGAAACAAATAAATTTTTATTTTTAAACTGTTTTTTAAATTGTTTTTCCTAAGTTCCATAACAGAATGTGACATTTGTGAGCCTTTGTTTCCCTCAGGTTCTTTAGGCGGGTGAGGGCCACGCCCTGCGTCATAGGTGAGCAGATAGAATCAGAGCTTATTAAAGGATTTGTGCTCACACAGGATGCCAATGGGGCAGGCAGAAAACTCAAGAAGCAGTTTTGGGCTTTTTCCTTGAGAGTCTGTGCCCAGAGCCCTCTTATGGACAGCTGAGCAAAGAGCCAAGGCAGGGCCTGCCACAGGCTTCCAAGTTAGACAGGGTGTCACTCACGGTCTTTTCTTCTTTGTTTTCTCTTTCTCTCTTTTTGATTCAAATGAGTACATCAGTGGGTTTAAGCTGGCAGATTGTATATGCTTTTTTATTTTTATTTTTGTCTTGTCGCTGAAGTTGCTCGGAAGCATTTAAAACCATAGTCATTCATTAAATAATCAGCACTGCACATGGTTTCTTAATTTTTTCATCTTTTTGTTTCACTTCATATAACAAAACCTTTTTTCCATTATTTTTACTGTTTTTCACTTTGGGAACTACTTTATGGATTTTTTTTCACATATGATTCATTAATTTATCAGACACTTAAGCTTTTGCCTTATCATTTTAGCAATACTATTTCTTTAAAAACAACCTAAAACAGAGAAAAAATTAGCTGAGACTTCTAGTATGTTGCAGATCTATGAGAGACTTAGGTGTTTAGCTGTCACACTAGACAGTGGAAGTTGGCTATTTTTGTGTGAAATACCCCAAGTTTTTGAGTGAAAATCTGAAACTTCTTTGGAGAAAGTTATTTCGATAAATTCAAACTACTGAGCATGGTTTAGATGTAGTTGAATTGAAATAAAAATTAGTGGTGGGTTCTGAATCTCCAATGTTATCATCAATTTCTGAGAAAGCTGTTGTAGCTCAGAACATCCAGAATACCGAGGCCAGGGATTGGCTCAGTAGTAGAGTGCTTACCCAGCTTGTGTGAGGCCCAGGGATTGGCTCAGTAGTAGAGTGCTTACCCAGCTTGTGTGAGGCCCTGGGTTTGATGCCCAGCTCTGTCAAGGAGAAGAGAGGGAGAACTTACCTCATCAGAATGTGAGGTTTCCGGTTGCTGTTCCTGTTAGTTAAAAATCTCTTTATCCTGCTGGGCGGTGGTGGCGCACGCCTTTAATCCCAGCACTTGGGAGACAGAGCCAGGCAGATATCTGTGAGTTCGAGGCCAGCCTGGTCTACAGAGATCCAGGACAGGCACCAAAACGACACAGAGAAACCCTGTCTCGAAAAACAAAAACAAACAAACAAAAAAATTATCCTTACCTTAATACTTTGGCTGGGAAAATTACATCAGTGAGATGGTTGGTTTTTCTCTAGTTGGTTGTAATTATTTTAAAATACTTTCATATTTTAACATCATGACTTGAAGCATTAGGTGAGCATTTCTGCTCACTTCCTGTAAGTTGCGGGTATTCTTTATATGAATGAGCTTGGTAGTAACATAAAATAATTCTGCTTAAAGGAATTGAGAGTGATTCATTATACTTTAAAGAGCAAGAAGTAACTTTTATTTATCAGCAGTGTGGTTCTTTTTCCTCCATTTAGATATGAAGTCAATTTCCAAGATGGTATTGACTGTGGAGGTGCATACATTAAACTGCTAGCAGACACTGATGATTTGATTCTGGTATGACATTTTAATATCTAAGAACACCTTATTAAAGTCAATAAGTATTTTAAGGAGTGGTTGACAACAACTGAAAAGTTCATTTTCAATTGAAAAAAGTAACTATGTCTTTTTCCAACATGAGTCTATGTGGTCTTTACAGTTTGCCCTCAAGATTCATAACACAGCTGCATTACTTGGTGAAGACATCAGTTCTGTGCTCATTAGTAACATAGGTGACTGTGCCCCATCTGCAAATAGAAAAGACAGGTGCTTGGAGATGTCCATGAGGTGTCAAAGTGGAGCTCTTCACAGGCTTGTTCAGACAAGCACAACGCAGGAGCGGCCCAAAGCCCATGTGAAAAACTGGGCTGTTTCAAGTGTTGGCAAAACACAGAAAAAACTAGAGTGGCTGTCCAGTTCTGATAGGTTGGGGACATGTCTCACAGCTTTCTGCAAAAGAAGAGCCCGCAGTGGGAGCTCTGTCAGGGGTCTGGCTAGAAGAGAAGTAAGGAGACCCCGGGTATGCTGAGATGGCTTTGCTGTGGGCAAGCTCCAAGGAGCGCATCACGGATTGCTTTCTGAACTGCTGGCTTTAGGATCAGGCAAAAGAGAGGCATTTGAGGACGGAGTTAGTGAAGCTCTTGTTTTAGGTCTTGTCGGTCATCGTCTCAGTGGAAGGGTGGTTTGAATCCCTTTACTGCTTTATTGGACTCAGCGAATCCTCAGAGAGCCCTTCTAAGGTAGGAACTGTCATCTCCACATTTGAGATGAGATGACATGGGGATTCGGAGGGCTCAGAAACTCACTCAGCCACACACGCTTGGTCACAGAAACTCACTCAGCCACACACGCTTGGTCACATGGCAGTGGCAACATTGGAGCTGCAGTATCTGAGTACTGAATAACGTGCCAGAAGAGTAGGCCCCACAAGGGATGAAATCGAGTTCCTCTCTGTGTCTGAGCACATTTTACTAAGGTTATTTGCTGGTATCTTCCTGAATAATGGCAATGAATAATCCATCACTTCAATCTAAGGTCACAAATGTGCTTAATTTCCTATGAACTGTTAATGTATATTTGCATAAAGCGTTGAAACCTTTTTCTGATGCGAAGGCACCAGCTCCTCCCAGCACCTGCGGGAAGGAAGTAGCGTGTGCTTGTCTAAAGGAACACATTACTTTGAAGCAGTTTTCACTTTGCCGTATCCTTTATTGTCATTTGTATTAATTCTTCAATAAGTTGGCTTTTAATATAGTTTGTAAACTCCACCCACTGGACAAAATAGAGTCACTGACTGCACTATGACTCTGGGCTAATCTGGACCATCATCTCTCTTTGAAGGAAAACTTTTATGATAAAACATCCTATACCATCATGTTTGGACCAGATAAATGTGGAGAAGATTATAAACTTCATCTTATCTTCAGACACAAACATCCCAAAACTGGAGCTTTTGAAGAAAAGCATGCCAAACCTCCAGATGTTGATCTGAAAGAGTTCTTCACAGACAGGAAGACTCACCTCTATACCCTTGGTACACCATTCATTCATTCATTCATTCATTCATTCAAAAGTACTCACTGACCGCAGAGTTGCTGAGGGCCTGTCCTTTTGGGAGAAAACAAATGTCTCTATCTTCAAGAAGTTTATCTTTAGGGGAGACAGTTGTGTCAAATAATAAAACAGGGGAGAAAAGAAAGCCCCCAGCAGGGGTGAGGGGAGTTCAGAAGAGATACCTGAGTGGAAGTCACGTAGCATGCAACTTTCCTGACATTGTTTTGCTGAATGGGGTTTACATAGGAGAATGTATGTTTGTAGGAAAAATGCATTTTTAGGGGTGATATTTACTGGGTCAGGAACTCTCAAGTGGTTCTAAAACAGTTCGAGTTCTTTGTAATATACTTGCAGCCTTTTAAGTTTGAGGGTTTTGTTTTAATATGAGGAAGATTGGGTTATATTCTGTAACTGTAAAAGAGGGACACTTTGTGGCCATGAGTCCCCACCAGGTTTAGCTAGATGTTGAGTAGTTTTACCTGTGGAAATAATGGAAATTTTTATTATTTAAAAATGAGTTTTAAACAAATTTTGTCTTTATTTTAGAAAATACTGTAGCTAGTGATTTCAGCAAGTTTTGATTCAATACACTGGTTTTTCCTGGTTAGGAGAAAATTATATTCATAAAGTTCAGGCCATTTTAGTATTTAGAAGTATCTTTGCAATGTCTGTCTGAATAATAACTATAAAGTATTAAAATTGTTCTCCAGTGATGAATCCAGATGATACATTTGAAATCTTCATTGATCAGAAAGTTGTGAACCAAGGGAGCTTGCTAGAGGATGTGGTTCCACCTATCAACCCACCCAGAGAAATTGATGATCCCAGCGATAAGAAGCCAGATGAGTGGGATGACAGAGCCAAAATCCCCGACCCCAGCGCAGTCAAGCCGGAGGACTGGTAAGGGGAGCTCAGCTACTACGTGGTGTCCAGTCTGAACTGGCCCAGGATGGGTGAAGCATGATCCTAATCAGTCTTAACAACAAAAACCTGGAGTCAGATACAGAAGGTGAAAGCTGAAAGATCAGAGAAGCAGAGCAGCAGCCACTAGAGACTTCTTACCTCTAAGAAATCTCAGACCAAATTGGGGGGAGGAGGTCTTGTTTCCACCTGCCTTATATTCCTGTCTCCAACTCCCTAGTGCTGGGATTAAGTGTGTGCCATCACTGCCTGGCCTCTACGGTTAACTAGTGGCTAGCTCTGTCCTCTGATCTCCAGGCAAGCTTTATTTGTCAGAACACAAACAAAATATCACAACAAATGGGTCGGTGACATTTATAGCCAATGAAACTCTTTTAACAGCAATACTGTTTGCTTTGATAATTTTGTATGAAATAATTTTCAGAAATGGATGTTGCATTTCCTTATCTTTTTAACTTAAAACTTACTTTAATATTTTTATTTTGTTGCCTTTTTTCATCATGTGTTCATTTTTTATGGTATCAGTTCTATGGGAAGATCTGTGAGTTTGAAACATCAAGCCTTTCATTTTAATTCCTGGCTTGTTCTTCCTCATATGTGTGTGGTATTCTCTATAGGTGACTATAGAGAACTGGGTTTTTGTTTGGTTGGTTGTTTGGTTGTTTGGTTGGTTAGTTGGTTGGTTGGTTTTGGTTTTGGTTTTGGTTTTGGTTGGTTGGTTGGTTGGTTTTGGTTTTGGTTGGTTGGTTGCTTGCTTGCTTTTGGTTTTGGTTGGTTGGTTGGTTGGTTGGTTTTGGTTTTGGTTGGTTGCTTGCTTGATTGCTTTTGGTTTTGGTTGGTTGGTTGGTTGGTTGGTTTTGGTTTTGGTTGGTTGCTTGCTTGATTGCTTGCTTTTGGTTTTGGTTGGTTGGTTGGTGGTTGATTGCTTTTGGTTTTGGTTTTGGTTGATTGGTTGGTTGGTGGTTGGTTGGTTTTGGTTTTGGTTTTGGTTGGTTGGTTTTTGGTTTTGGTTGGTTGGTTGGTTTTGGTTGGTTAGTTGGTTTTGGTTTTGGTTGGTTAGTTGGTTTTGGTTTTGGTTGGTTGGTTTTGGTTGGTTGGTTGGTTAATTTTGGTTTTGGTTGGTTGGTTTTGGTTGGTTGGTTGGTTGGTTTTGGTTTTGGTTGGTTGGTTGGTTGGTTGGGTTTTGTTTGTTTGATTGTTTGACTTGGCTTTAGGTTACCATACTGTCAGCAGCTTACAAAGCTGTTGTGGGACTCATCACATCATCATGCCGAAGCACTGTTTCCCTTTACTAGCTCTGTATTTGTGTTGTTTCTATTTTGGGGGACTGAAGGTTTTCCTTAACTGAAATGCATTCAGTTGATGAGTCCCCATAGCTTGAAGTTGGATAGTGAGGGATGCCAGCATATCTCTCTTTCTACAGAGCTAGTCTTTGTCCTTGAGATATGGTTTGTGACTTTTGCATGAAGACCGTGTTCTTTTATTCCTAAGAACCATAGTTTTTTTTTTTCCTGCTGGCTGCATAATTCTTAATTAAGGTCTGCTAAATAGATTATATTTCTTTTTGTATTTAACCACTGTGTTAGGTTGTGCTGTGTAACAAATATCCCCAAACATACCAAGCAAACACAATGCATGCTGATTACTGCCTCGGTGGGTTGAGGCAGAGATGTGGAGGAGGCCTGGCTGAGGGTGTCTGCCTCTGGCTTTGAAATGCTGCCACTTCCTAACCAGCTCAAATGGCCCATTCCCAGGAGGTGTCCATCCTTCTCTACCTAGCCCTCCCTTTAGGTGTGTTCATGGAAGCTTAGATCACACTTCAGAAGCAGTGATCTAAGACAGAGAGACAGCATCCTTGAAATTGCTGCCATATTTTATAACTGGGTCTAGAAATAGCATGCTGCCGCCTACTACCCCAATTGGAAGGAGACTTCGCAAAGGTGTGAATACAAATTCCTCAAGTTAAAAAAAAAATGTTCTTTGATTCCTATGAGATTATATGTAGCAGGAATCTTAAAAGTTCTTATTAATAAAATCAAATCCAGGAGCCAGGTATTGGGGTGAACACTGGATGATCAGAGAGACAGAACAAGCCACAGCTAACCTCACCTGGGCAACTTCTCAGCTAATCTTGTTTCCTCAGACTGGAAGCCTCTGTGTCCTCATATCCAAATGGCTCTCAGCTGAACTGTACTGCTCAAAACTTAAAAGCTTAACAGCTAAAATGCTGCTAGTTTCTGGTCCTCACGCCTTATATACCTTTCTGCTTTCTACCACCACTCCCTGGGATTAAAGGCGCGCTTTCTGGGATTAAAGGCGTGAGTCACCATGCTTGGCTATATCCTTGAACTCATGGATTTCTGCCTCTGGAATGCTAGGATTAAAGGTGTGAGTGCCACCATTTTCTAGCCTTTGTATCTAGTGGCTGTTCTGTCTCTGACCCCAGATAAGTTTATTAGGGTGCACAATATTTTGGGGAACACAATACCACCACATTTCCCCTTATTTTGTCTAAAATTAAAAAAAGCTTATAACTAATAAAAGAAAAACTATCCAATAAGTATATACAATATATACAGTAAAAAATAACATTAACAATGTCTAGTCCATTAACATTTGACAGATTCAGACAAAAAACTCCATTTTATATATTAACAATGTCCAGTCCAGTAACAACTATAACATGATTTTACACACTTGCTGAAATGACTGTCCTCTCTGTTTTCTTAGTACAGTGAATTATAGTGACTGATTGTCTAATGTTGACTAACAGCCCACTTGCTGAGCACTATTATTATCTTCTTTATGTCTTTTGTTGGGCATTTTTTTCAGATGCATTGAAGTATAAATTTTGTACTGCCAAATTCATTTGCAGTGCATGGTTCTGTGGGTTCTGATAGACACACCGATGTCTATGGCATTTTCATTTTCCCAGGAGGACCTCACGTTCTGCACCTTGATGAGGCTTCCTTCCCTGTAGCTTGGCAAAGCACTGTGTAAAATGGACTCTTCTAGGATCTCCGCCTGTCCCCTGAGCCTGCCCTGTGCTGGCTCCTGCGTCTGCAGCAGCTGCCCTGCGCAGGGACTATGTCGTCATCGGTCCATCCGTTCACAAATTGATGGAAAATTGCAGAATTTTCCAGTTTAGTGTAATTAAAAGTAAATGTGTGGTCAACATTTACAGACAGATGTAGCTTAAGAGTTTTCCTGCCTGGCCCACAGTCAGGACAAATCTCTGTCACCCGCCAGTCCCACAGCCACTCAGACCCGACCAAGTAAACACAGAGACTTATACTGGTTACAAACTGTATGGCCGTGGCAGGCTTCTTGCTAACTGTTCTTACAGCTTAAATTAATCCATTTCCATTAATCTATACCTTGCCACATGGCTCGTGGCTTACCGGTATCTTCACATTCTGTTTCTCATCGTGGCGGCTGGCAGCGTCTCTCTCTCTCAGCCTTCCACTTCCCAGCTTTATTCTCCTCCTTGTCCCGCCTACACTTCCTGCCTAGCCAATGGCCAATCAGTGTTTTATTTATTAACTAATTAGCAACACATTTGCCATACAGAACATTCCACAGCAGACAGAATTTCGGTCGGACATAAGTTTCCCCTATCGAGGATAAATGCCTAGGAATGGATTTGCTGACCCGTTCAGGATGTGTGTGTGTGTGTGTGTGTGTGTGTGTGTGTGTGTGTGTGTGTGTGTGTAAATTGGCGAGAAGCTGCCAGTCTTTCCCGAGGCCTTGCTATTTTGCACCGCACCAGCCTCACACAAGGGTTTCAGCTTCTTTACATTCACAGCATTCTATTTCTGTTTTTCTTTTCGGCCATTCTAAAAGATCTGCAGTGGAATCCTCCTGTCTGAACTCACATTTCTCCAATCTCACTCAGCATGTGGCTTTACTACCATTTATATCACTTCTTTGCTGAAATACCATTTTAAGTTTGTCAAATGCTTTTAGAAATTTCTTATTGCTTTGTGTGCTTGTGTGTATGTGGTACCTGCCCCACAATGCCTGTGTGAAAGTCAGGACAACCCGAGGTAGTCAGTTCTCTCCTTCTATCATGCAGGCCTTGGGGGTTCAACTCAGGTCCTCTGTTTGGCCGCAAGCACCTTTACCCTCTGAGCCATCTGGCCAGCCCTACAGTGGGTTTCTTACAGGCAACATGTACTTGGTTCGTTCTTCTCTGCTTTCAGTGAGTTTTCCCAGCTGTTTCATGTCTGAAAATGTATTTATATCAGCATAGTTTTTGAAGGTTTTTCACTGACAACTAAGCACCACTGGGCACTGTCTCTGAGAATGCATCCATTTTTGTTTTTGTTTTTGTTTTTGTTTTGTTTTGTTTTGAGGCCTGCAGTTCGTAATGGCAGGTCGATGATCCCTGCCTCGTGGGTCACTGTTTTCAATTTTAAGGTATTTTCCCACATTACCAGTTTTCAGCTGTGTAGTTTTGCTGTGTTCTGATGTGGATTTCTTTGTCCTCATGATTGTGTTTCTCCAGTTCAGTTCTTTGCACGTCTTAGAGTGTGAGCACGCCGTTTGTGTGGAGTGCAGATTGGCTGCTACTTCACTGAGTGAGCATCCTGACAGCTCCATATGTGTATGTTCCACTGCTTGCTGTTGTCTCGCGGTTTTTTTCTGTGTCTTTGAAAAGTCATTCCCATTTCCTCCAGTCACTTGTTTGTAAACATTGGTGTGACCACCTGTCCAGAACACAGGGTGTTGTTCTTAAGAAAAGCCAACACGTCAGCTCCTGCTGATTCAGAGAGATGCTGACTGTAGTAGGGATGCCTTTCCTCTCAGGCCAACTGCTTTACAGAGGGTAGGAGCAGCAGGCTGCTTTAATGGAATCATGTGATGTGTTCGTACTGCCAGAAACAGCAGTGCGCCTCAATGCGAACCCTCTCCAACTCAGATTTCTGTGCCCAGAAAGAGGACGTTACCCTCAAACTCAAGAAGCTGTAGATGACAGCTTCATGTTTGGTGAAATGCGTGAGACTTGTGTTAGGAGGTGCTAAAAGAAGGGCTGTCAAATGCCAGGATCTGGTTGCTATGTGTGCTCAGAGACTGACTCTGAGGTCGGGTCGGCCGAGTCTGTGCATCAGCAGAATTGGGTTTAATCTGTTTTGCAGCTTGAGGTTCGTTTGTGGGAAGCCATGAATGAGCTGATGACGTCAAGATGTCCGCTTTTCCACAGATTTGGTGTCTCAGTCATTCTCCTACTCATCATGCTCATGCTCCTCGGGGTTTTCTTCCTAAGTCTTCCTGTTTCTTTTTAAATTAAAATACTAAAATTAAATATGGAGAGTTTATAATTTTTTAAAAATGGCGTAGGAGGAATCTTTTTAAGTCTGACATAAATTAGAAAAATCATAAAATGTTAATAAATTCAGCTGCTTGAAAACATATGGTTTGTAAATGGCAAAAGGAACAGCATGTGTTAAAGGCCATGTGTTAAAGGCCAGACATCATGTTAGAAACCTGTGGCGCAGCACTGGGAAAATATGATCAGGGGCGTCAGGGTGTCACAGCCTTGCCTACATAGAAAGTTCCAAGCTAGCATGGGTGACATGAGAGCCTGCCTAAATAAATAATAACCATATATTTAAAAACCGACGCGGACTGGTGAGATGGCTCATCGGGTAACGGTGCCTGCCACTGGACCTGACTGATGGCCAGAATTCCACCCTGCAGCCCACGTGGAAGAGAGAACCGATTCTGCAGGTTAGCCTCTGACCTCCTGTGTGCTGTGGCATAAGTGCAAATGCACACACACACACACACACACACACACACACACACAGATAATAAATAAGTGTGAATTTTTTTTAAACCTGAGAAAGTAGAAAGTGGAAAGATTATATTTTTATAGTACACAGCCAGCAAAGGGCCAATTTCCTAATGTAAAAGAAACAGGCGACCTAACAAAATAAGAATGGTTTGGAAACACACTGGCGCTGCCCTGTGTGCCTGGTTTGGGTGGAAATACCAAACTCCTGGCTGTCGGGACAGGCTCTTCTGGCTGCATTTCTCCCAGCAGCTCCTGTCTGACCTGACTCCTGCCAGGCTTGCCCACTGAGTTCTGCTGCCAGCCTTCCAAGCTCTTTCCAGACCGAGTCCCCAGACTTTCCCAAGCCCTTCCCACATATGAACAACTTCCAAAGGCCTCTGAACCACACGGTCAGGGTTAGTCGTGGAAATGACCGCATTCCTGGGTGCCAGTCTCTTTGTTAGATTTCCTTCACTGTGACAGAAAACACCCAGGAGTCAACACACACATAGGAAGAAAGACTTGGGCTCAGTTTCAGCATTTCATGCATAGGTGCCTAGCTCCATTGCTCCTGGGCGCATTGTCAGGACACCTTGCAAAGGGCCGTGTTAGAAACAAAGCTTCTCACATTGTAGCAGCTGGGAAGCAAAGAGGAATCACTTTATAACAAAATCCGTTAAGTCTGAAATCCATTAAGCTAGGAATCTGAAAACAAATTGATTCATTCATGAAACCAACACCCTTATGATCCAGTCACCGCCTCAAGACCTCACTCTGAACTTGGCTGCATTGGGAACCAAACCTTCAACACATAAAATCCAAACCATATCAGCAGACATCTAGTACGTAATTTTTGCTGACTGCGTTTGAATGATAAAAGCAAGATTCAGCATTCTATGTATGCAATGCTGTCATTTATATTTTTTTAAAAAAAGTGTACATGGAACACAAGACCACATATGACAAGCAAATGAAGTGTGTGTGTGTGTGTGTTGGGGGGGGGGTATGGTGTCCTTAGTAGGCACACAAACCAAATGATAGGACAGGACATACTGCTGCAGAACCCTCTGGACATTTTGACCTGTGTATTTAAGAGCTTCCTAAAACAGTGAATACATTGTCATAATGTATTTACAGGGATGAAAATGAACCTGCCCAAATAGAAGACTCAAGTGCTGTTAAACCTGATGGCTGGCTTGATGATGAACCGAAGTTTATCCCCAATCCTAGTGCCAAGAAGCCTGATGATTGGTAAGCATTCTTCAGTTCCAGGAAAGGTGGTGCCAAGTGCATCCTGATTATCTACTAATTGTCACTACTGGAGGCTAATAGATTCCCTCTGCTCTAATAACTTCAGGAGTGATGACATGGATGGAGAATGGGAGGCACCACGTATGCCTAATCCAGCCTGTCAGATTGGATGTGGCGAGTGGAAACCCCCTATGATAGATAACCCAAAATACAAAGGAGTCTGGAAACCGCCAATGATCAATAATCCTAGCTACCAGGTAATGGCCACTGTCTCAGTTCTGTAATCAGGTAGTCCTCACCAATATTCTGTTAGCTTTTAGAAGTTTGATTTGTAGCTTATGAAGTCAAAGAAAGTCAGCTCATTTAGGTTAGGTAAAGAGGAAGGATCTAGTGTGGACACGTGGATAGGGATCTAGTGTGGACACGTGGATAGGGATCTAGTGGGGACACGTGGATAGGGATCTAGTGGGGACACGTGGATAGGGATCTAGTGGGGACACGTGGATAGGGATCTAGTGGGGACACGTGGATAGGGATCTAGTGGGGACACGTGGATCTCCCTGGGATGGGGTAGTAGATTTTACAGATGGACAGGGGGTGGGTGGGAACAGGAGTGGAGTGGTCAGAAGGGAGAAGGTGGTGTAGAGGGAGAGAGTGTGGGGAGAGACTGCTGGAATGGGGGGACATTTGGGGTGATGTGGAAACCTAGTGCAGTGGAAACTTCCTGGAATTAATGAAGGTGATCCTAATAAGGACCCCTAGTAATGGAGTCTTAAATAGACATCTCTTGTCACCAGTGAGGCCTCCAGTGACAGGGCTCAGTTGCATTCAATTGATTTGTTGGCCAAGGGGACCATGGAAATCCTTAAACAACCCCAACTGTTGCTAAGATAAATGGTTGCTCTCCAAAAACTGACAAGGGGGGGGGCGTATTGCTAAAGACAACACCCACACAACTCATTAAACATGGAGACATCATCTTTTTGGTGCTGGTGGGGAGATGTACTTTGCCAGCTACTAAAAGAGAAACAAAGATCCCAACCCAGCTACAAAACCTTTGACCTACAACCTGTCTTCCTGCAAAATATGCTAGGGCAATGATGGCACAGAACTTGTTGGAGTGGCCAATGTCTGATTTGACTTAAGGCCCACTCCATGAGAAGGAACCCATACCCAACACTGCTTGGGTAACCAAGAACCAGAGACTAGATAGCCCAGAGGCCTAGGGTACAGCCAAACACTACTGGTCTTAAAAATAAAGTATCAATTTAAAAAAAAAAAAAAAAAGAAAGAAAATGTAGCAGCCAGGTGGTGGTGCACGCCTTTAATCCCAGCACTTGAGAGGCAGAGAAAGGTGGATCTCTGTGAGTTCGAGCCTGGTCTACAGACTGAGTTCCAGGACAGCCAAGCAGCCAGGCTATGTAGAGAAACCCTGTCTCATTTTATATATTTCTTCCCGATAGTCAGGTGATGCTCGCTGTGGAATAAAGTTCCATTTTCAGAAGTAAATAAATGAGTTCTCATGGAGAGAACTCATGTTATCCATTTCAAGAATCAGTGTCTGTACTTCGTGAACTCCTTATTTATCTAACAGTGTCAAAATTCAGAATTTTGAAACTGTCAGACATTCTTGGGGGATCTGGCTTCACTTCCATTGTTCATTTCCCCCTCTAGTTTGTCTTTGTAGTGACTTGTTGATGTCTCCCACACCGTACAAATGTGGTTATATGTTCTAATTCTTCACTGTAGTCTTTCTTCACAGCATTTATCACAAAGTGTGTGCGTGCGTGCGTGCGTGCGTGTGTGTGTGTGTGTGTGTGTGTGTGTGTGTGTGTGTGTGTGTGATTGCTCTTCATCTTATTGTTTTTGAGACAATGTCTGTCATTGAGCCTGGAGCTTTCTGATTCAAATAGACAAACTGCCAACAAACCCCAGGGTTGCCCTGTCCCGTCTCCGCAGGTCTTGGATTACAGGCCTCTCCTACAGTACCTACTTCCTAAATGGTGCTGAAGACTGACCTCGAGCCCTCCTACCTCACACAGGGGCAAGCACTTTACCAACTCAGCCGTCTTCCATCCCTTAGAAAAGGTTTCTTCTAGCTGGGCGGTGGTGGCGCACGCCTTTAATCCCAGCACTCGGGAGGCAGAGCCAGGGGGATCTCTGTGAGTTCGAGGCCAGCCTGGACTACCAAGTGAGTTCCAGGAAAGGCGCAAAGCTACACAGAGAAACCCTGTCTCGAAAAACCAAAAAAAAAAAAAGAAAAGGTTTCTTCTGTTCCTTTTTGTTTGTTTAATGGCGTCACTTTATTTAACATTGTCTTCATATGTTGTTCCTTCCAGGGAATCTGGAGTCCTCAGAAGATCCCTAACCCCGATTATTTTGAGGATGACCACCCATTCCTTCTGACTTCTTTCAGTGCTCTGGGCTTAGAGCTTTGGTCCATGACTCCCAACATCTACTTTGATAATTTTATCATCTGTTCAGAAAAGGAGGTGGCAGATCGCTGGGCTGCAGATGGCTGGGAACTGAAGATAATGGTGGCGAATGCTAACGAGGTACAGTAGTGACTGCGGGGTGCGCCCAGATGCAGTGGCCACCGAATGCCAAGGAGATGGACTTGCCCACATTCTGCAGACAGACTGTTCAGCTTTTCTGCGTAGACTGTGGGATGAGCTCAGCATGCACCTGAGTCCTGTGTCCTCGTTTCATTTGTTAAATTATGGAAGCTCTAATGAGATTCAAAGCCTACTTGTGGCTTGTAGCAATAAGAAATACTCCTTTGTGTTTTGATGTTGGCAGTGCAAGCCTAAGGTTTAGCATTAAACTAGATGCATTTCAAGTATTTTCACTTAGAGAAATCCCGAGAACTCTAAAGTTCACATCACTGTTCATCTCTATTGCAGTGTTGTGCACTCCAGGCTAGCTGGCCTGTGAGCCTCCAGAAACTGTCTCCACCTCCCACTGCACCATGGGGGCTCCGGTTATTGATGCGGTCCACTGCATCCAGCATGTTCTGCAGGTGCCAGAAACGGACCTTCGTGTTAGGCACCTTTATCTGCTAAACCATTCACCCACCCCCATTTGGTTTCTTTAGACACGTGCTTGTCACAAGTAAAATATAGTGTGATCTCAGATTTTATTTACGAAAATAAAACTCATGCACAAGGGCCACTTGTGGAATCGTTCATAGAAAAAGAAAAAGAAAAACCAATAATCCCTGGGTGATTTTATTAGTAAGTTCTTTAAATAACAGAATGTATTATCAAAGGGGTCTTTTTCTTCTTTTTCATTTTTGGTGTGGATGTGTAGTATAGTGGGGTGTGTGTGTGTGTGTGTGTGTGTGTGTGTGTGTGTTATAAAATCTGTATTTCCCAGTGGAAGTTTGTAAAGGTTCTGTGCTCATTTCTCCCACAGCCAGGTGTGCTCAAACAGCTAACCACAGCAGCAGAGGAGCGCCCATGGCTCTGGCTCATGTACCTTGTGATGGCTGGGTTGCCCATAGCATTAGTTACTTCGTTTTGTTGGCCAAGAAAAGTAAAGGTAAAGAAAACACACTTTTTCAACTTGGTTTTTCAGACTTGCTTGTGTTCCAGAGTTGTATGAATCAGGCAGTGTAATGAATCCAATATAGATGCAATAAATTCAGTTTCCTGTAAGATTTAATGAAAGTTTGTTATGTACCTTGTCAGTTAGTGCAAAAAAAAGGTAGATAAATGTTATGATGAAGAGGACGCACATTGTCCATTTCAGTAATTAGTGTCTGTGCACTAAAAAAAAAAAAATAGTGTTTTGCTTTTAGTAAAAACAGTTTTTGTTAAACTACCACAGAAAAAATATGAAGACATGGATCCTAAGACAAATGACTTATGTAAACCGCAGACCAAGGCAGCTCTGGAACAAGGGGTAGAGGAGGAGAAGGCCCCAGAGAAGGCAGAAGATTTGGAAGAGGAAAAGAAACCCAGTGATGGTGACATGGTCATCGTTGAAAAGGGTGAGGCTGTGCTGTGACTGTTGACAGATACTGTCCTGCTGGAGCTGACAGATGACTGCCAGCCCTGCACATTTGAACTGCCAAGAGCAGGTGACTGGCAGTGTGGATCAGCAGTCCTCTGAGAGGGACAGCCCTTGAGCAGCCCCTGTCTCCACTGCTTGTCCATAGCCACAGCCTCCTGTGCTTTGGAGACTCCTAGACTGAGAGTAGAGATGAACTACTGTTTACACATAATTCCTGTGTGACCAGACATACCCTCACCCCAGCTGGGGCACCTACAGTACCACAAGGTTCCCCCAAATCTAGCTAGTGCATACCTGGGGTTCCTAACAGGCACACAGGTGACTCAAAGGCAGTGTACATGTGTGTGCACATGTATGTCATGGACCATACATGGAAATCAGAGGACAACTTAGGGGACTAAGTTCTTTAAAAAGAATGTGTGTGTGTGTGTGTGTGTGTGTGTGTGTGTGTGTGTGTGTGTATCTGTGTGTGTGTGTGTGTGTGTGAGAGAGAGAGAGAGAGAGAAAGAGAGAGGTGTGTGTGTGTGTGTGTGTGTGTGTGTGTGTGTGTGTGTGTGAGAGAGAGAGAGAGAGAGAGAGAGAGAGAGAGAGAGAGAGAGAGGTGTGTGTGTGTGTATATGTGTGTGTGTGAATTCTTTAGGCTGTAAGTTCTCAGAGCCTTTGTAACTTACTAGTGTTTTATGTTGGTGTTTCTGTCTAGAGGGAATTCACAAATAACTAATTTGTGAATACTTAAATATCAACAGGGCCTTATTTTAGAAGGCAGTTTTGCATTTCCCCACTGTCTTACACTATGCATGTGGAAATATGTGTGAAAGGCAGAGGTGACATGTACCACCTTCCATTTCCATTTCCTCAAACCTAATTTTTGGTAAAGTGAGTTTTTACTTTATACACTCTCAGGACATGCTCTCTTTTTTGTGTGTGGTGGCCTTCTCCTCCTCCTCTCTCTGTCCTTCTCCCCCACTCTCCCCACTTCCTCCCTGTCTTTTCATAATGACAGGGGCAAAGTTGGAGATTTGGCTAAAGAGAATCCATAGGAGAATCAGTGGATGAAAAGGCAGATGGCAAGGCCCACAGGGTACAAGATAATTCAGACAGCAAGCTGGGGACACAGGGGTCACCTCAGTGAAGACGTGTCACTGAGACATGCCTACCAGACAGCTGAGAATTATTTGGGCTTAGTATATTGTGTAATAATAATTTTAGAAACTTGTCCTTTGCTTCAAAAAGATGACTTTTTTTATAAGTGTAAAATAATAAGTATTTACAATTAGCTGGCTTTTTCTTTTTCAGTTTTGAAAGGTAGAAGTTGCTTTTTAATTGTGGAATTTCAATTAATCTCCCTTAATTGTTCTTAAAACTTTTCAGTAGCAAAATCCTAACTCATGGGTCTCTGCCTTTAATAAAATCTGTATTCTAGTAGAGGAAGTTGGTGAACCAGAAGAGAAGAGAGAAGAACGGGAAACCATAGAAGGGCAGGAGGAAATGAACAAACTGAATAAATCTGGATCAGAGGACGAGGTAAGCCTCGTGACAGCAACAAGCTTCCACCATGCTTCCCCGTTTTCTTGACTAAGTGCCTCCTGACATTTGAAAACAAACTGATAGAGAAGGCAGAAAACGCTGTGACATGTTGTCATCTTGACATGTGATGGAGGCGCACTCCATCTGAGCCGCACACGATGGAAAAGCAGACCGCACTGGAAAAAAGGACCGTAACACTCTTGGTAAAGATGGACGAGGTCACGAGCGTTTAAAAGGCAGTCCTCCTGCTGAAAAGACTGTTGTCTCAATCCACCCTCTAGTCTTTTCATGTGTATATTTGTCAGTAAGCTAAACTATTTTTGAATCGCATAATTTGGTGAAATAACTTGGTGTGCTGCAGGGAGAAGTGTGAAGTGACTTCAGCTGCGTAGTATCTCCATGCACGCAGTTTGTTCTTAAAGTTTGCTGTTAGGTACACACACATTCCAAAAGGTAAAGAAAGGAGAGAAAACTGTGAAGACATTACGTTTTTTTCCTCTCCTAATTTTTCTGGAAGCTTTTATTCCAGAAGTTCTGATCTCTGTAAAACCAGCTCAGGGTTCATTACTCACAGAAACTGTGTGAGCAGTTTAATCCCTCAGCGGGAATCACACAACTATTTCCTATGAGACTGAGACCAGTGTTCTGAGTCATAAATAAAACGTTGCAGGAGGCCGGGCGGTGGTGGCGCACGCCTTTAATCCCAGCACTCAGGAGGCAGAGGCAGAGGCAGAGGCAGAGGCAGAGGCAGGTGGATCTTTGTGAGTTCAAGGCCAGCCTGGTCTACAGAGCAAGATCCAGGAAAAGGCGCAAAGCTACACAGAGAAACCCTGTCTCGAAAAACCAAAAAAAAAAAAAAAAAGCTGCAGGAGCAGCAGGCAGTAGTGGTCTTTGCCACATGCTTATCTGATGAGCAGGATTATTTTGAAAATGTCATCAGGCCAGCTGTAAATAAGACATCAAGGCAGCTTCATGAAGTACAGGAGCCTATCTGTGTAACACAGCGTTGGATGGCTAGAGCACACAGTTGAAACAATGAGAAATAAGCATACTGCTGCTCACTAGTTAAGGTTATGTGAAAGGAAACATTTCCTCATTCATTGTTTTCCAGATGAAAGAAGCCGACGAGAGCACAGGGTCTGGAGACGCACCAGTGAAGTCATTACGCAAGAGGAGGGTACGGAAGGACTGATGTGTCTCAAGTATTCCAAATCCCCAAGAGAGAGAGCTGGCATTCTAAAGTTAGCGTGCTCCAAAGGACAGTGAATCCATCTGCACAAACTCTTTCTAAATATCTACCAATGTTACTTTTTCAGATACTTCTTTCTTTCTTTCTTTTTTTGGGGGGAAAGTAACTTTGAAATTAACTGGTCTTTGAATTTAGAATAAAAGAAAAGTGGCACATTACATGAGATCCAAGAGATTAATATCCTTAGAAGTTACAGTTTTAATGGTTGGAAGATAGTTTTGGTTTTGTAGAGCAAAATCACACGTAGCCATCACAACTGCTATTGGAAATGTCAACTATTGGACTTTCCATTTAAATGGCTATAGAAGAAGATACAGGTTAGTTTTATAATAAAATTCAAGTGTGCTCTGTTGTACAGACGGAAGGTAACAGAGTTCCTGTGTGATCGTTTGATGCTGTTGGATGGGATCCACACTTACCTTGCCTGTGTCACACTGTGGTTAGGGTCAGTTCACGTAGAGATTCCTTGACGAGGTGCTGTGTTGACAGGCTTGTCAACTGAACAAATGTTTAAGGGCCACTCATGCAATCACTGGGTAATATGCAAGCGTATTCTACACATGAACACAAGATAATAGGCTTGTCAAAACCAAATGATGTACAGATTTTTGTTCAAGCTTTTGTAGCCAGTTCATGACCAAATGGCTTATCTCATTCACAAAACTGTGTGCACACACTGCTCTTGAAAATAAAATTTAAATATTTTTCTCATTTAATTTTTTTTTTTTTGGTTTTTCAAGAAAGGGTTTCTCTGTGTAGCTCTGACCATCCTGAAACTTGCTCTATAGACCAGGCTGGCCTCAAATTCACACAGATCCGCCTGCCTCTGCCTCCTGAGTGCTGGGATTAAAGGCGTGCGCCACCACTGCTCGACATTATTTTTCTCATTTAAATTATACCCTCTCTATGGGTCATTACTGGAGAGGCTTCATTTATTATTGCAGGATTCTAATGGTTAAATCCAATCTTTCTGCCACGATTTTCTGCTAACGAGGTCACATGTATTCTGAGTCTGTTGTCTGAAGTGGGTGCCCAGACAAGCCCCTTTTCCACAGTGTTCCACTTACAATGTTTTATTGAAGAATATTTTACACTTAAGTAACATGTGTCAATCCTTTGAAAGGCCACTCAAGTCTACATGAGGACTAGAGGGTGACTTTAATACTAAGTCCCTGTGGAACTTTGATGAGTTAGGGTCTGTTTTGCAGACATGCACACCCTACCTTTTGACAGCTCCTTTGGATAGGTATGTTCAGAACTCACACACTGGAAATCCACCTTAGCCTCATCTCCCTAGGACACTGAGCAGAGCCAGTGAGACTGTTTGCGTCTTTCAGAGAGCTGTGGAGGTAGAGTGATTTTTTTTCCCCATGGCCGTGTTCTAACATTCATAAACTCTTGGGTGGATTTTTAACATGTGTGCAGATCCCCTGGAGACCCAGAGAGGGCATTGGATGTCTTGGAACTGGAGTTACAGGAGGTTGTGAGCTTCCATGTTTGTCCTGGGAACTGAACTTGGGTCCTCTGCAAGAGCAGTTCATGCTTAATGGCTGAGCCAGCTCTCCAGCCTCTGCTTCTTTTCCTTGAAAATACTCTTCAGTGAGGCTCACTTCCATTGGCCATTTCTCTAGGTTGACATCAGCGTCGTTAGGATTAGTGTCAGTCTCCTTTGGAGGGACACAGTGGAAGCCTTAGTGTGGGATGAGCAGCTGGGGTGGATTCAGTGTACCAGAGAATCTAGAATTCTCAAAACGGCTTCACTGGGCCAAGGGGGTAGCGCTGGGGGTAAAAGTGCATGCCATGTGGGCAGGTGACTTGAGTCCAATCCAAGGATCTAAAAGTGGAAAGAGGAGAGCTCTGAGTTCCAAAGTGCCCTCTGAAGAGGCACACTCGTGAATGTGAGTGCATGCACGCATGAGTGTAAAATTATTTTGTATACAGTAGAAACTGTTCAGAACAGTCAACACATAACTCACACTCTGGACACCCGTCTGTGAGGTTCTTTAGATTTTCGCTGTATGTTTTACCTTTAGCAAGATTTAAAGATGAGATATCAGCTGACTTAGACAATTTCTCTAAATCTGTTATATAAATAATTTATATAAAACATATTTCAAACCATCTCAATCATTTATCCCCAAATCACATAGGCCCTACTTTCCTATAGTATGAGGAGGTTAGGAAATGAAGCTGACTTCATTTTTTTTCTACTGCTGTGATAAGACATGACCAAGGAAATTTACAAAAGAGTTCAATTTGGGTTTAGGGTTTCCGAGGATCACAGGCCATGATTCCAGGGCAAAGGCATGGCACCAGGATCAGCTGAAGTAGGAGCCAGAGAGCACACTGGAAATGGGACGTGTCTCAGGGTTTCTATTGCTGTGATGAAACACCATGACCAAAAAGCAAGTTGGGGGGGAAAAGGTTTATTCGGCTTATACTTCAGCGTTGCTGTTCATCACTGAAGCAAGTCAGGACAGGAACTCAAACAGGGCAGGATCCTGGATTCAGAAGCTGATTCGGAGGCCATGGAGGGGTGCTGCTTACTGGCTTGCTTCCCCTGGCTTGCTCAGCCTGATTTCCTATAGAACCCAGGACCAGCAGCCCAGGGATGGCACCACCCACCGTGGGCAGGGCCCTCCCTCATTGATCACTAACTGAAAAAATTCCTTACAGCTGGATCTCATAGAGACATTTCCTCAGCAGAGGCTCTTTCTCTGATGGCTCTAGCTTGTGTTAAGTTGACACACAAAACCAGCCAGTGCAGCGCAAGTCTTTTGAAAACTCAAACCCACTTCCCAGTGATACAGCCTCCTCCAACAAGATCATACCTCCCAATCCTTCCCAAACAGTTCCACCATCTGAGGACCAAGTATGCAAATATGTATGCTTACGGGAGCCATTCTCATTCAAAACACCACAGAAACCATCTCCTCTTGACAGGTTAGACGAGGCAAGCTGATGGGAGAAAACAAACTTAGAAACATATTTTAATTATGCATATGTCTGCATTGGGTAACATGTACCTGGGAACTCCCTGGAGCTGTGGCTACAGGAGGTTGTGAGATCCCATGAAAGTGCTGGGAACTTTGCAAGAACGGTGTGAGCTTAATCACTAAACCTTCTCTCCACGCCCTTTGGGAACATTTAGTCTGTCTCTAAGACCCCAGTACACAGAACATTAAGGGCAGTCCTGAAAATGATAGGCACTAGGACAACTAGAAAACCATCTTTATAATAACAGACATGATAAATCTTCTGGAAACGTTAAAACAAGATAAACACTGTTGAACTGATCACGTTGTGTGACCTCAGCTTCTGTCATAGTCCTCTCCCTATGTCAGAAGACAAACTCTGAGCTCAGTATGGCGGCACAGGCCTTCAATATCAGCACTCGGGAGGCAGAGATAGGTGGATCTCCATGCATTTGAAGCCACTCTGGTCTACACAGTGAGTTCTAGACCAGCCAGGGCTAGCTATATTGAGAGACCTTGTCATAGAGTCAACCTAAGTCTTTGTTATAGTAAATTTGTCATTTAAATTCCATCAATCTCTGATTTTAGTGGAGTCAATTGTAGTTTGTTTTCTAGATGAAGTAGCTAAGAGGCAATGATATCATTCTTTTGTCCATGTCTTAAACAGCTGTCCATGTGACAGTCTCTCGTTACAAGCAAGCTTAAGAATGAAAACAACCTCTTGTAATCAGAGCCTTGTCTCCCCGGCTTGCCTGTTCCCAAATTCCCATCAGCCACTTCCCAAATTACCACACTGAGGCTTATATTAATTCTAAATGTTTGGCTGATTTCTTGGGCTTATTACTAACTATCTCTTACATTTAAATTAACCCATTTCTATTTCTCTATGTATTTCCACATGGCTGTGGCTTTACCAGTCCTCTGGCATCTTGATTCTTGGGTAGCTGGCTCGAGTCTCCCTGACTCTGCCCCTCCTCATCCAAATCCTCAGTATGATTGTTCCACCTAACCTTATCCTGCCTGGCTATTGGTCAAACAGCTTTATTACTAACCAATGAGAGTGATGCATATTCACAGCATACAAACTCTGAGACTTGTTGGTGGTCATCTTGGTTAGGACAGCATTGAGAAGTTCCTGGTGACAATCAGGAGTGGGCACTAACTCAGGGTTAACTTGAAGCACCATTGGGCAAAGTAGAGCTTGCAGCTAAAGAATTAAGACCCACTTCTCTTTGCTTCTGACCATTAATTAATCTTAGGTCCTAAAATTGGACTCTTACTTTTTTTCTTTTGGTTTTCTGAGACAGGGTTTCTCTGTGTTAACAGCCCTGGCTGTCCTGGAACTCACTCTGTAGACCAGGCTGGCCTTGAACTAACAGAGATCATCTGCCTCTGCCTCCCAAGTGCTGGGATTAAAGGTGTGCGCCACCACTGCCTGGCTCTACTCTCAGTTTTATTCTATGAAAGAACCACATATTAAAGGGGAAAGAACTGGCCAGGAATAAAGGTGAGGGGTTGAGACCTGTGGAAGGAGGTCCCCAAGTGATGTCGGCTACTTCTACATCACAAGAGTTTGTTTCTGTAGGGACAGTTCGAGAAGAAAAGTCAATCTCTGTACAAATGACTTCACCACCTTGACACCAAAACTCACTTGGCAGCCCACCCTGACCTCCCAGGTAAGCTTTCCTATGCACTCACTCTTTATCCCATGTATCACTAATTCTCATAGATTCTGATGCAGAAACAAACTGCTCCAAAGTGCGCCCCTATATAAATCATACCATTGTATAAAATCTGAAAAATGCCAAGTTCTGAAGCATCTGGCCCTCTAAGTTCCAAAGAAAGGACTGTGGTGTACAGTATTCTACTGTACAGAGTGGGCAGCAGGAATAGAAGCCAGATGTTGGGTGGGATGGTAGTGCCAATATTAAAGGAAGCCCTTCTTTGGGGCCTGGTGGGGAGGTGCCACATCTGTCTGGCTGCTGTAATGGAATACTACAGCCAAGGTGCTTTGTAAACAATATAAAAATAAAAACCATTTCTCACAGCCCCAGAAACAAGACGAGGCCAAGGCACCCGTGTAGCTGGGTTCTAATGCGGGTCCGCCCCCCAAGTGCTGACTGTGGTCCTTCCTGTGTCCTTAAGTGGCAAGAGGTTTCTCTGGGGTCTATTTATAATCCCAC